GAGACACCATGACTATGGCAACTCTTACAAAGGAAAACATTTAATTGGGTGGCTGGCTTACAGTTTCAGAGGTTCAGTCCATTATCATCATGGTGGAACATGCAGGCAGACATGGTGCTGGAGAAGTAGCTGAGAGTCCTACATCTTGCAGACAACAGGAAGTAGTCTGAGTATCACACTGAGCAAAGCTTGAGCATATGAGACCTCAAAGTCTGCCTCCACGGTGACACATTTCCTTCAACAAGTCCACACCTACTCCAACAAAGCCACAACCCCCAATAGTGCCACTCCCTTTGGGGACCATATTTTTTCAAACCTCCACAACCACCATCAATGAACAGACCTATTCTACCACTGTGAGCTGCCTCACCAGAGACCCAAAGCAGCAGAAACAATGCCATGAACTAAAACCATGAGCCAAAATCAACTTTCTCTCTTACCTATCCCCACATGTATTTTGTCATGATAATTAAAAAACTCACACACACAGCTACCTAGCTAGTAAGTGGCAGAATAGGATTTAAACCCACTGTCTCCAGAGATCATACTGTCACTACCACTGCTTCTGTCAAAATGGTAGGTCTCCCGTGACATCGCTGAATAGAGATATAGCTAATCCAAAAGAGAAGAGAATCCAAAATCCTTGTGCATATGAAATGTATTATAGCATGAAGCTTTTGTAAAAAGCTTAGAGGACCTATTTATTTTTCCTTCCTGAAAATGATTTGCTGAAGCATATGTCAATTAGCTGGCCATTACTCAGCAGCTTCGCCCAGTGGGAGGAGGTTAAACAGCGATGATAATCAGACTCTGGCACTGGGGTCCATGCCAACCTTCCTTAGCTAGGCCAGAGGGGAAACCCCTGTTCTGACTTCATCTTAAGAGGCCAGTAATTTGAAAGGGGAGGCCACTCAGCATGTGGGATGTTGCAGGTAGCAAGAGAAGTCTTCTAATTGTACAAGTGTCATCTTCTATGTATGCACCACCTTCACTGGCTCTGAGGAGTTGGGCACTCAGAGGTTTGGTTTGCCACTTCTAAGAGAGCCAGCACAATGCTCTCTAGCCCTGATGCTCCAACTATACGAACCCGCTCACCAGAAAAAAAGGTTGGTGGCAAGTATAAGCTGGCCCTAGTCAATGGATTCTATAAAAGAAAAGGTCTGTGATTTCCCCCACCTTCCTCTGTTATATCTCCAAGCCCCAATTACTCATGGGAAAATGAAAGGTGGGGGGAGTAGGTGCATGTGCATGCATGTGTGTGCATATGAAAGAAAACACCTGACTCTTACATGCCAGAGCATATAGAAGAAACCTTCTTCCAGGCCCCTCATCGAAGGACTTGGCCAGGTATCTCCCTTGGACAGCCTATTTATTACCAAATTGGGGGACATGGGCTTTGTTTCTGGAACTGGTGTGGGGCAAGTAGGAGGTCATGGTTCTTGAAACAGTTGGAAGAAGAAACCAACCAAGGGAATGGAGACCCGGAAGCTGGGTCTGAAGACATCTTTAAGATCCTGCTGGGAGGACTAACAGGCCAAGGGACAGAGGGATGGGAAGGTGGGTCTATAGGTCGTGGTGAAAAGCTGTCTCTTAAAGGGATTCTCCACTCTTGGAGTTGCTCTGGCCCCTCTGCATTCCAGCTGTGCATGTGTCTGCCAATACTGGGTCCACCGGAGCCTTTGGCAACAAGGGAACTAGTTGGTTTCTGCACCCAGTGGTTTCCTCAAGGTAATTTGCCAGAGGACAGAGAAGCCAAGCAAAGGCCCCAGTAACACAGCCTGGGACAGGCAACCAGGAGGTGTGATTAATCCCAACAGGCCTAGCCAGCCAGTCCAGTGATATGCAGCTATGGCTGGGGGAAGGTGACGATGGAGGGTCGTTTCTTACTCTCTGCCTATAAAAAATAAATCCAAAAGAAGGGGTGAGCAGAGATGCACAGCTGGAGGCTGACAGAGTCCCTTTAAAGCTCAGCCCTTCCCCCTGGTACGCACTAGCAGATAACAGTGTGTGGATCGGCTTTTCCCCCATGTAGCCCACTCTTCACCTTCTTCCTTCTCCGCTCTTCTCCCTCAGAGGAATCGCAGACATGGCCAATCCACCCGTTTGTTTCAGGTCTTCGGTGGATGGAGGGACTCCAGCTCCACTGCCTCACGTGAAACCCAAGACTCCCGCCCTCCTCTCTCCTCCTGCTCCGTACCCCAATAACGTTTACTTGCCACGTTTTCTAGGTTGGTGCTAGACATCCTGCGGTGTCACTTTGGGCCCTGTTTCTCTCCCTTCTCTTCTCTGACTTCTCCTCCATATTCCTTCTGAAATAGCTCTATTCCCAAACAAACAACTCACATTTAGAGAGAGACTCCAGCATGTTCCAAGCTCCAGCTTTAAAGCACACACATATGTAGGATCCATTTGAGAGATTCACTCCTACCCTCCCTCCCCCAAATTAGTGCCCCCTTTCTACCCTGAGTGGTGTGTAAGAACCTGGGAGTGCACTGGTTGTTTCCTGCTTAGAGCATTGACTTAACTGGAAGAGAGGAGTTCCTGCCTGAGATATTCAGGGCCTTGCTCCAAGAAGCCAGCAAAAGAGCCCTGGCACAGGCTGACCCTCATCTGACCTGTGACCCAGACAACCTCAGCCCCAGTCTGGCTGCCCCAAGCCTCCTGGGGCAGCATAGGTTTTCTTTGGGCAGAAATGCCTGGGAACGTAGAGTCCCCTTTCCCTGGGGCCTGACCTCCTCTTCTAAGAATAATAGCCTGAGGACAGCTTGTCTGGTAGTTTACTCTAGAAGGAGATGGCTGGGAAGCGAGGCAGTTTCGGGAGCTAGACAAAGGGAGGAAGATGGAAGAAATAGGCTCAGCTCTTCTGAGTAAAAAATGTGAAAGAGAGCTGGCAGCCTTTGAGACCAAAGAGCTGAGACCCTCTCTGAGCACTCTTCCTGCTTCCAAAGTCTCTTGCCAACCTGCAGACATCCATCTCCAGAGAGGTCCAGACATGGAAGCAGTGGCCCTGGGCCGGCTGAGTAAACACAGGCAGTGCTAATTGCCCCCATTGGAGAGCATTGTCTGGGAAACAAAAGGAGCAAATGTCATTTTTGTAAGAAAACAGGTCTCCTTGGTCCCAGGTTCTCTACATTCTGCCAAGGGGCACATGTCTGTCCTGCTATTGGGGTTTCCTGGGCTGTGGCTCTGGGCTCTGTAGGGTCTTGGGACATGGCCCTTTAAGCTGGCACTCCTGCCACAGAGGCAATAATCGAGACCTGAAAATGCTGCTTGCTCTTTGGAAGGCAGCTGCCTACCCAGAAGTCCCCAGCCCTCTGGGCATTCTGGATTCCTGGCCACACAGTTGTCTGTGTACCTCAAAAAGTCTTCCGTGGACGTCCATCTCTTCCCCCTTGTGAGTACATGGAAAACCAATGAAACCCTGTATACAGGCAACAGTAGTAAAGTTGGGACCCTGGTCTTTCCCTTTTGAGCCTAACTCTCTTCCACAAAGCTCTATTAGCTTTATTCCCTTTCTAGGAAGGCAGTAGCTCCACCCATCAACCAATCCCACCTCCACCAACCTGGCCCAGGGCAGTCCTTTATAACGCCCATCACTTTTGGTAGCATTTTCATTTTACTGAGACTTTGTACCATGGAGCCTGGGATGGTACTTAAGAGATGCCCCTGAGGACACTGTCTAGAAAGGCCTCCTAGACCAGGAGACCTGTCTATCCATTAAGAAAGATTCTACAAGGCAAATTTGGCCTGGGACGAAAGGGCATGTCCAGTGCAGGAAAGAGAGGCTAAACCCCATTCCGTCTACACAGAGTCCAGCTTACTGTGGACACCGTTGGAGTGATCTGGTCCTTTGGTTGTCTCTGAACTTGCATTCCAGTCCTGTCAACCACAAGACATCAGCCACTGACTTCCCTCCCTCCTGATAGGTCCTTTACTAATGCTGTATGCTCTATACTGCATATTAACTATAATACTATAGGAGATGATACACGAACAGTAGAATACAGCCACACCCAGCACTGCTGTGTCTTCCTAACACTTGTCCCTATATCCATGGCCACTTCTGCCCTGAGGAAATCGAAGGGTCCTCTGTGGAGGCGGTAGAGAGAATGCGGATCATGTGACCCATGAATGGCAGGACAGGAGGGCTGAACTGAATGCCTCTCTGCTGCTCCTAACCCAGCCCAGCTCCTGGCGAGACGCTGACGTGTCAAACTCCCAACAGCAACACTCAGATGCCTGGACAGTGATTCTAATGGTGATGTTGCTCTGTTCTTGTCTGTCTAATATTCCTTTTTAATCCCCATCCTGCCTGCCCCTCCCTCATGTAGGGTTACTTTAGTGATCCCTGGAATGTTTTTGACTTCCTCATCGTGATTGGGAGCATAATTGATGTCGTTCTCAGTGAAACTAATGTGAGTACCGCTCTGCCCGCCCCAGGGACCCCAGTCCTTCCTTCCACCTCTTCTGCCTCTCCACTCCTCTCTCTCTCTCTCACACTCTTTGTTTACCTCTTTTTATGTTTTTTTAATTTCTGATTTTACCCACCTCCAGTCATGCTTTTTATTGAGAACCTGCCGTCGTCTTGTGGGGGGAAAAAAAGCAGAAAGCTGTTCTCCTTTTTTTCCCACTTGTCCTGGCTACGCTGGGCCCAAGGGCGCAGAGCTGAGCGGAGGGAACAGGCTGCACGCCGGTGGGGCCAGCACTGGCTGCCTGCCTTCCGGGTGGCGGCGGCCCACCCGCCTCAGAACTAACCTAGCTTTTGTCAGGCCTCCCTCTCGATCCTGCGAAAACCAGGTTGCCCAGGTTTGAGCCGCCAGAACTGTAGAGTGGTAAGAGTATTTAATATACCCACGTAACCTCTTTCTTTTCTCATTTTTTTCTCTTCTCTCCTTTCTTTCATGCCTCTTTTTTTTTTCATTTCCCTCCCTTTGTTTTTTTTTCTCCTCTTTTGTTGGTTTTTCCCCTTCTCTCTTTCCTGGCTTTTCTGCCCCATGCAGCACTATTTCTGTGATGCATGGAATACATTTGATGCCTTGATTGTTGTGGGTAGCATTGTTGATATAGCAATCACCGAGGTACACGTAAGTACATGGTGTCTGTGACCCAGCTGACCCCGCCTGCTCTAACATCCATTTGTTTCTCCCTGCTTTATTTTTGCCTATCATTTTTATTTTCTGTGCCCCACCTCCTTATTTTTATTTCATTTTTTAAAATTTGTTTAAATTGGTTCCATTTTTTTTTCTTATTGCTTTGTTTGGAGATTTCTTTTTAATTTTTTTTTAATCTTTGGAACTGCACTAAGACATCCTTTTTTATGTGTTGGTTGCCGCATCTTTTTCTCTCTCCCTTTATAATCAGCCTGGCATGACTCACACTGTATAGGAGGGTGCAGCTATGTGAATTATGGAGTGAGAAAATGAAGGGTTCTTTACAAGTTCTGGGCAACCAATGGAGCTGGGACCCAAACCTTTCCTAACCCAAAACTTCACCTCCAAATACTGCCTCTCCTCCTGTTGGCTTTCCATCCCCATGACATCCTAAAAAGTTGTGCCCTCAGAGCAGAACACCCAGAGTTGAGGCTAGGAATTTGCCTGCATTGTCAGCCATGGCCTACCCTCTCCCAAAAACTACTTGATTGTCTTCACATTGAACAAACTCTGTCTGCTTTGACTAAACATCAGTATCACATGCCCGGCACTTTGAGAGACAGAAGTACTGATGGTATCTGAGATTTGCTTGTCCTCCCTCTCTAGAAACAGTAAAAAGCCTGGTGGCTGGGCAGTTTACTGAGCTTTCTGAGTGGGTTTTGTCTTCCCATTGCCATGGAAACAGGGTCCATGTAAGAGCCTCATATCCATGAACTCATCATAGAGAGTGGACTGTGAACCTGCCTGCTCTCTCTCTCCCCTTGCCCTTCATAACCTGCCCCTGGCTCCCTGGCCTCAGGCAGGCCCCACAGCCACGGCCTTGTTGCCCTCTCCTCCCCAGAGCTGCCTCCTTCTATACAGTTCTTGCACATGTCTTCTTGTTACCTGGCATGTTTGAGTATCCTCTCTTTATCTATAAGCAAGTCTTCTTGCTGTTAGTCCTTAACACGTACTATTTAGTTTTTGTCATTATTTTTCCATAAGTAAGAGACTTGATAATGTTTGCATAAACCTTTGGTGGATAGAAACCATTGAATAACAGCACAGAGCACCTGATTTGGGGACTTGATCTTAGGTGTTTGGAATTCTCTTGCTGTCCTCCACACATCCCACTACCTTCCATGCAGCCTGGCCCATTCCCAAAACACTGACCTGACGTGTTCTTTCACTGGTTTGATTCTCCTTGGGGTAGCCACTGGGTTTGGGAAGAAGGAGCTTCCATTCTCCATACATTCCTTCTTTTGTCCCCTTTCCTGTACCCTTGCTTAGCCTATAGCTCCAACCTCAGTTGCCCCTCTGTCTCTGAGAACTTGAGTTTGTCTTTGTCTCAGTGTGTGTGTGTGTGTGTGTGTGTGTGTGTGTGTGTGTGTGTGTGTGTGTGTGTGCACATATGCATGCATGTAAACCCTTAGGCTTGACTCCTTCCAGTAAACCCTCAGATAATTAAAAACAAAATCAGTCTTCCACAACTGCTGCTAACTTCCTTTCTGTGTAGACTCCCAGCATGCAGTCTGGGAACCCTAAGTTATATTCCTGTTGTTATTTAAGTCTCAGACTCTGCTTAGCACCGATGACATGCACTGTGCTGCCCTGAGGGTCCTGCGGGGAGAGCAGTAAAAAGGAAGACTGAGGCATGGGCTCCGCCATCCTTCTGTAGATAGTAGTGCAGACTGGTGCAGGAACCAATGCAGAGCTCTGCAGTGGAAAACACAAGGAAGGACAGCCGACGGCTTCCCATGATGGCAGAAGACCCATTGCAGCCCCAGGAGTTCCTCTTGGTTCTTGTACTGCTGGCAAAAGCCATAGCTCTCGTTCTGCCATAACATCTCTATTTCCGTTTTCAGTGAAAACAATGACAAAGCAAATATACAGTTCCCTATATAAAATCCGTGTGTACAGATGTTTGCTCATGTAACAGCACCTATTTAAAAGCCCTATGTCAACTGTAAAGCTCTATGAAGTAAAATCTACAGCATCCAAGCAAGTCACATCAAAACCCCTGCCTCTAACTAGACCATCTCCTTGGTATGCCCATAACTTAGAGCTCACGCACATCAGTAGTGCCCCTTTGTCCAGCTGTTGTTAATGTGACTCATGGAGGTGACCAGCAGATGCAGCCGTCAGAGAAAGTGCAGGCCATCAGCAGCCACGTGACCAGAGCTGTTTCCCAGTACCACGCTAAGCCCCTACTCGGCCATGTAAGGCTGTCTTAGAGCCATGCCTCGGCCCTACACCCTAGTGCATCACCCTGTCTGAATCTGCCCTTTTCTTCTTTTGTGAACCCAGTCAAAGTGTGGCATTACTCCACTTTGGTAGAGCCTTGAGTCTTCTCCAGTCCTGGTTTATGAAATCACACTTTCTAGAAGTGTTTCATGATTGTCCATGGAAGTTCTGATAGCACCCCCCCCCCCAGAGTGCTCCTTGATATCCCAAATGGGAATCAGTTTGAGGATGTGGCCAACAGCCTCTCTGCGTACTTTTTCGTGATGCCTCAGAAAGGGTTTTAAACTATAGAAAGTGCTAGAAGACCTCATTTCTTATATTATGGGTGTGGAGAACCATTGTCAAATTGTACATTCGGAAGCCATGATTATGTTTCCAGCCTAGCCCCCAGGAACCAGGTGCCTTAGAGCAATTAGCCCAGGTCCCTAGGCCTCAATTAATTTTAAATGTGGTGGGAGTTGGATGGGGAGGGCTGAGAGTCTCTTGTAGCTCCTGGCCTCTGTAATTCCAGTATGGTGAGATAAGAGTTCCTTGTTGCTTTCTTAGGGTTCCCAGATCCTCAGTGTACTCAACTCTATCTGGACTCTGGTGTGGCTCATGTGAGGACTATGCAGAGACAGGGACAAGACCACCCCCAGGGAGAGCTGCAGACACTGGAATAGTATCAGGGGAAGAACACCAACCCTCGGGGGATTCTAGGCAAGTTAAGGGGAAGCAATCCAGAAGTTACTAGATACAATGTATTGGGCCACAGAAATGACCAGAGCAAGAAAATAAACTAAGGATTGATGTCATTTTCTGTGATCTTGGCTGGTTAGGAGGAAAAGGAAAAAGGGACAACATGAGATCTAGTCCTTGGCATGTCAGTCATCAGGACCACTACAAGACTCATGATTGAATCAAGACCTCAGGGACCCCCTGCACATGTGAAATCTAGGCACAAACAAGGCAAGCAATCTGTCCAAAGTCTTCTAGCTAACTAGTGACAAGTCTATGATTCAAGCCATTCCTATCAATCAACTCTTACACTCCCACAGAGCTGCGGCCATGTATTGAGATGACATCAGCATAGCATCACTGAAAGTAGGGATTGGTGGCTTCTGCCATTCATGGGCCCTCATCTGATACTCTCTGCAACCGACCTATACAGACCTGCTTTCCACCTTCCCTGTGCCGATGCTTAGCCAAAGGATGCTGGATACTCCTGGAATGCTCACACAGAGCGTTGTGTGGGGACCTCACAGGGGCAGAAGCAGGAGAGAGACTCTAGGGAGAACAGGCATGGAGATGGAATGCACATCATATCCATTGGCCAAATCAACAGGAACAAGAGACGAAGAAAGCGAACAGGAGGAGAAGGACAGGGTTGGGGTCAGTTTCAGGAAAGGGTAGGTTATGGTGCTAGCTCCAAGTCTTCCTCACTGCCCTCCCTGGTGCTGCCTTTCGCCCTCAGCATCTCCCCACCACAGACCCACAGGCCCAACTTCCAGTTATCAATTGTTCCTTCCTGGATCCCCGAGAATGAAGCCTGTCAGCTCCTTCCCTGGCTCCAGTTCCTTCCTACAATGGAGAAAAGGCTGGGCATGGAGACTGCTGTCTACTATGTGTCCACCCCCACAGATATGAGGAACTCAAAAAGTAGCGAACAAAACAGACATGACCATAGGCTTAAAGTGCTTAGCTTGGGGCATCACAGATCCAGTGTCAGTGATTCCAGGCCCCCTATAGAGCACAGCAGGGGTTTTTCACTTGCAGCTAGGAAGGTACTGAAGACCTGGATGATCACATGAGGTTGTCTAGGGATCACCATCTGGCCTGCCTAGGCTTCTTCCCACACAGAACTTAGTCCGTGAATGCGTCCTGACTCTGTTGTGAATGCTTGTTTCTGAGACTATGTGAGCAGAGTGTGTGTGGGATGCTAGGGAGACACTATTCTAGCCAAACAAAAGCTTTCTGGGTAGTATGGCCTTAAGGCTCAAGAAAAAGTTGCCCCAGAGTTCCTTAGCTTTTTTTTTTTTTTTTTTTTTTTTACAAAGTTGTCATTACCTGGGCTGGGGAGCCTAAGACAGAGATCTCAGAGAGCCCTCATCCCCAAGCTGCTCTGAAATCTTATCTCCTGCTGTGAAGACTTGACCTAAGGACTATCAAGCTAGGGCATGATATTAAATATTATGATCAATCCACGTGAGTCTATTAAATGGGTAACAGAATTTATTAACATATAAATTGAGGAAATACACTCACGATTACGGAACGGAGTAGACAGCGATTACGGAACGGAGTAGACAGCAATTACAGAACGGAGTAGACAGCAGAAGTCGTCCTCTGATCTGACAGGAGCGAATCCACCTCTCAAGCAGGAGCGGGGAGCAGGGAGAAGGGGCCATGTGACTCTTCTCCAACCCCTTATAAGAGGTCCTGTACACCAGCAGGAAGTACCGCCTTCTTTGGGCTATATAGCTCAGGGCCATGGGCAGAGCAAATACCACTACAATTAAAACAATAAAATACCAGAGAAGTAATCAGACCTAAGCCTAAATTTTGAAGTAAAATGTAACTTAAGTAGATGATATCTTAATCCAAGCAACAAAAGGCCAAGTAAAATAGCATCAGGAGAGAAGATGGTCATGGTGAATGAATCTTTAAAGCCCTCCAATGTGGGATCCCCAGTGTTCAAGTGGTGAAATGAACTATTTTATTCATTTGTACTGGCTAGAGGCTGGTTTAGTGGGGCCAGCTGAGCTGGTGAATTTTCTAAATTGTCTCAATTTTGGTCTTATTTAGGATGAAATTGGTCCAGAAGTCCTTTAAGGGCTGACCCAAGGTCCTTGAAAGTGATGGGTAGCTGGGATGACATTAAGGTGTTCCTCAAAGCAAAGCAGCAGCCCAGAACAAGCTCACTTCAGAGCCCCTGACATGTCTACAGAGCAGATCGCCTCCATGCGGCTCTCCCATTCCACTGCTGAATCACCAGAGACATGGAACTCTTTTATCTGGCAATCCATGAGAAAAGCCCTGGTCCAACCAGGGGTGGGGGTGGAGCAACAAGATACACCAGGAGACATAGGCTTGACCATCATGGCATCTGCCTCATGCTGGTGGAAGAGGGATTTGGGTGCTTGAACAAGAAATGTCCTGTGTGTGTGAGTGTGTATGTCTGTCCATCTGTTTCTGTGTTTCCTATCAACCCAGTAGACAAATCCTGCTGACCCATCCCCTATGGACACGGAGACTGGCCGGGCAGCTGCCAATCCACACAGACACAGAGCGTGTTCTATAAATGACTAGAGAAAGCCCTTCCACCCTCCTCCCCACTCATCCTCTCTACCATCCCCAAAAACATCAAAACCAACTCTATGGGAATTTTTTTTAAAAGTTAATTGCTAAGAACTATGGTACCAAGAAGTTATTTTCAGACTTCAAGAAAATATCTAATTATGAACAGTCCTTTCCTTCAAACCTCGCATTACATGTTTCATTGTTCGCACCTTCAAAACAAACACAGGGGCAACATCTGAAAGTAGGCAGTGAAGGCCGAGGCTCCAGCACCAACGGGTAAGGTCAGTCAGGGATGAGTGTTGTATGTTAGAACCCAGTGTTGGGGTATTTCCCCAGGAAAATTACTAGGGAAACTGGGAGAGGAAGGGCCTTGAGTTGTTCCTATGAGCTCCTGCCCCCAAACAAGTTCAGCAATCTAACCCCAGAAAACAACTTCTTGGGGCACTATTGATGAGATCCCAAATTGTGTACAAGGACTTCCGGATTAAAAAGTTCAATCTACCCCTGTGTCAGTGGCCAAGGGCCCCCACATCGCTAGTCTGAACTAAGCTCTAAGCATGGCCACGCCCAGCCTGAGCCTTACCTTGTAGAGAAAACTCCCTCTGGAGAAGTTTGAGGGCTACCTCCTTAGCTCTTCTTTAGTCATAATGAGAGTTGAGCTTTCTCTAACCTGGGCGCGCTGTCACCCTGGGGCTCTTTTGCCTAACTGTGTGCATGTGGATAATGATGGGCACACGTGAGCCAGGGTTTGTCCTTTGGCCAGCCCTTACTTCATAGAGAAGGCTAGAGTGTAGAAAGTGGAAGTCCTAAGAGGTTAGCTTGAAGCCGACTGGCTGAAAACAAAAACTGAGGCCCACCCGCAGATCTGGAAGGCCTCGCTTCCTCCTCTGTACGGGGGCTGAGATTTTTCCCTCCCATCCAGAGGTGGTCACTGAATAGGAGATAGGAGAATCTCGTGGGTCCTTGCTGACCACGTGGCCTACTGACACACAGCCTGTGTTCTCACTGGCACCCCTCACCCCGCCAGGCCCACGCTTGTGTATTTCTTTCACTGTTTCCTTATGCCCTCTCCTACCACTGTGTTGTTCCTCTGTTAGCCAAGACCTAGAATACCAGGCTCTTCGTTGGAGACTCATTACAGCTTTATCTCTGTCTGCCTTTCTTTAAAGCCAGCTGAACATACCCAATGCTCTCCCTCTATGGTAAGAACAACCCTCCAGACCACGGTCCCAGCTTCTGTGGCCCCTCTAGCCACCACTTCTTACCCACCCCGACTTCCAGAGCCCTGGGAGCCCAGCCCAGCTCCCATTGCATGTGGCCACCATGTCCATTGTGTGCCTTACCTGCCTGTGCTCACGCGAGCTGTCCAAGGGTGTGTGTACAGTGGTGTTCCTCTACTTCCCCAAGCTTCCTTTGGGTGGTGAGTCACCGTGACCCACTGGGAGAGAACTGGACCCATGCTATTTCCTGTTAAACATCCCAAGGACTCTGCATTTCAGCTAATGTGGGAATTTGTGAAGGATACTTTTGGGAACTGTGATGGGGGCTCCAGGGAAAAGACAAAAGTGGGCGTGAGGTTCAGCTAAAAGGGAAGGCAGTTCTAACAACTCTGTAACTACCAGCCTCCCCTGGGCTTCGTGTGGAAGGCTGTGTGAGAGAGGCACAAGCTGGGATTTGCTATGGCACAGGGTTGGCCCGCTAGTCTCTCTACTGTAACCCTAAGCCTTAGTCTTACATCTTTCCAAGTTCCTCAGGTCCGTTACATTTGCACCAAGTCCCTTTTCCATAACATGTGGGAAGCAGGAAAACGACCTGACTGGACCACTCCTGATGGAGGGGTATACATTCCTTTTGTCTGCGTGGTAGACATGCCTCACCATATGACCTTGGAGCTCCTTGGAATAGCTTCCCCTAAGAACTCCATCACGACCCCCAAACCCCAGAATGATAGATTGAGAGATGTAGTGGTGATCCCCGTCACAGCCCATGCTGGCCAAAAGGCTGCCTCGGAAATTTTTGTTTTGTTTTGTTTTATAACTCATCAGACCTAGATGTCCCAGCGACACCAGCTTGACAAACGCTTGACACCCACAGCGGAAGTCCCCCACTGAAGCTTGTCCTGTTGTTTTGTTTTGTTGTGGGTATTTTTCTTCCCTTTCTTGAACATGATAGAACTGACAGGTAGAAAAAGCTCTGCGCTCCCTGTACGTTCCTCTGAGGAGCAAACCTCCTTCTAAGGACAGAAAATAGAACTTAGAAGAGGCAAACAGTTAATGGAGCCAAAGACTTCTGGGTAGGACTAGCGGCCACATTGCAGGCCTTAGAAGTTCCCCAGACCTGTGAGCCTGTTCACTGGCAGGGCTAGAGTCTTAGTAGCAATTGGGGTAGCTCCAATTTTAAAATGTAAGAAATGTTTTGACTCTTGTCCTATCTGGAGGGTCTGAAAACCAGAACCCTCTGGCTTCCTTTCTCTACTCCCAGTATGGAGGATGGGGCTGATCTGGAAAATCTGCCCCAAACTATCCTACCTCCCTTGGCGGGGAGCATTGACATGGAGGTTGAGTATCTCATCGCTCCAGCCTGTTGGCTCTTGCATATTCCTAAAGTCCATCACATATACCCCTCCAGATGGAAATGAGATAAAGCCATCCCACCCTTAGGGATGGTCCAGAAGACCGTAGAGGAAGAACTGAAGGGCTTGTGGAGCCAGCCCTGGGGCTTCAGTGCTAAGGAATATTCCAGGCCTGATGCTGTGAGAGAGACCCTGGTGTGGAAACACTGCCAAGAGGACACTGTAAGAGGACAAGTTAAAGGGACGGGACAGGAGGACAGACAGCGTAAGAGCCCTCCTTCAAGGGGTGCCTGGGATGGGAGCCATAACAGGAAATTCTAGGGTCCTTTCTCTCCGGGTGCCGCTGTCGGCAGGGCTGGGAAGGCTGCACTAGCTTTGGGGAAGATGGACGGGCTCCCAGCAGCTCTCAGAGCTTTGGAACGCAGCCAGTTGCTCACATGAGCAGGAGGGCCAAGGGCACAGCCAGCTCTTGTTCTCAGGTATGGGGGCAAAAGGCAACACTTGTGCCCCAGAGACCTGGCTAGGCATGTGTCCACACCCTCAGGCTCCTCCAGACTAAGAAGCCAGTGGTGAACCTTTGGCCGTAGATTCCCAGCAGCCCAGGAGTTCTAATCCCACCTCAGCTCCCCCTGACCTCAATGATGTCACTGTCTCCTTCTCTCTGTCCAAGACCACAGAGCAGGTACCCTGAGTGGCACCCCACAGTGGTCATGTACCAGGCTCAGCCTTTTCTAGGACTCCGCCCACAGGATGTCTCTCCTGTCTGGTCCTGCTGGCATCCACAGTCCTTTCAGACTGTGGACCTCTAGGGAAGGTCACAGCCTCTGAGGCCATGTGTTGAGGACCATGAAAGGTCAGCAACTCCAGAGGCTGCAGGGAGGCACAGGACTGTAGCTCCCCAGTATAACACAGCAACCCACTACCACCATCCCCCAGCAGCCATTTAGAGAAGGGCCGTGGGAAGTAGAGAGTGGCAAGAGGGAGAAGTGAGATGAGCATCCAAGGCATGCTCAGAGGTAACTTCAGACAGCTGAAAGGGAAGCCTCTAGGTATAGCAGAGTTCCAGTCACAAGGCAGAACTCCCAACTGACGAGATAGGAGTGGCTGGGCTGCGTTCTCCCATCACAGGAGGGCCGGAGCCTCCAGGACAGTGGCTCTGGGCCCAGATTCTACAGCTTGTTACAGTTGAAGAACTAGGAATTATGGGAAAGAGAAGGGTAGGGAAACAAGGCCATGGGCCCAGGGATGTGTCTTAGCAGGCACCTTGGAATAGGCTGCCGACCTGGAAAGGAAGGTGCTGGCCTCCCACCTCGGAAAACAGGGACTTGGGGCCTAAGGGACAAGTCTAGTGCAGCTGACCCCACCCTGGCCTGCCTCCTCTCAACCAATGGCTGTTTCTCAGAGGATCCCTTCCTGCCCTGCCTTCTTGCTGTGTTAACTGCACCCCCTATTGCCAACGGGTTCTAGAGCGCAGAGGAGAACTCCCGAATCTCCATCACCTTCTTCCGCCTCTTCCGGGTCATGCGCCTGGTGAAGCTGCTGAGCCGTGGGGAAGGCATCCGGACCCTGCTGTGGACCTTCATCAAGTCCTTTCAGGTAGCCACACCGCCTCCCCCTGTAAAGCCGGTAGGGAGACAACCTCCACTGCCCCAGGAGATGGAAGGACACCGTGCTCCACTGTCACTTTGGCTAGGGTTCCTCACCAAGGGCAGACCAGGAAAGAAACAGCCCCAGCCCAGCATACAGGGCCCAGGTCTGGCTGGAGCTGGTTCTCATACTTGTCTTCCTGGCTGTGTGAGTGTATGATGCAATGTGATGGCACCTGGCTTTCCTCATTCTCAATGAAGAGAGGATGCGTGTAGACCTGTAATTCCAAAATCCAGGGCTCAACACACTCCTAATAATTTATTAGAAAGAAGGATTGTAGGACTAGTCTTGAAGAATGCTGCTTGTAAGTGTCAAGTTCGTGAGAAGCGAAGCTGATAGGGCACTTGGACTCCTGGGAAAGGGCTGTAGAAATTCCTGACTCTGCTTCCCAGACACCACCCAAAAGTCAGCTTCTCTTCCCACACACCCACTCTCAGACTTCCCTAGACCCTACATCTAGGTCTTCATGTTTCCTGCCCTGGACAGTCAAGTTCAAATAGGGCATGGAGTCTGTCTCCATCCAGATGTACTCACAGTTCTGATTGTAGCCAGAGGACAGTTGTCCTGGGGTGGTGACCTCCCTGTCCTATTTGAAGTCCCCTTCCAAACTCACAGCTCTGTGGACAGCGCCACCCAAAGCTCTCTGATGGAAGACCTCGAGATCCAGCCCAGCTGCACACAGATCCAGTGTTCTTCCAGCTGTGACCCACCCTGCTGGCCTCTCAACCCCTAATGAGAAGCTGGGTCTCCTCCACCCCAAGACCCTTCCCAGGTCAAGGTGAAGGAAGGATTCTAAGGATTTGAATGGCCCTAATGGGCTCAAGATGAGAAGCTGATTCTGCCTTGGCTCCTGAGACACCCCAACATTTCTTTGTAATGGGCAGTAGCTGGGGTGACCTTGAAGAATGGAACTTGATCTGGGAGCACGAGAGCCCACCATACACTAAAAAATTGTGTGATCTCTTGGTGCCATCTAGTGGTACAAGGCAACATAGTTCCTAAGCCAGAAAGCCAGGTTTCTGTGATCCCACAAAAGGTGTTGAGACCCCCACAGTGCCTCCTCAGAAGTGGCCCTGGCTCTGTTTAGGGGATATTCTGAATGAGTAAAATATGTGGAACCTAATTATGTATACACTATTGTGTTGTGTATGTCACGAGACTTGGATCCTTTAAATGTCACACCCCCCTGCCAGGTGTAAGGGTTATCATTCAGATCAGGAAACAGGTCCAGAGAAGTTCAGTACTAGGTCCAAACTGCTGGAAAGTGGGGGGAGCAACATTCGAGCCCAGAATGTTTTTTTACATTTCTCCTTGTTAACTGTTTTCATAATAGTGCTCACTGCTCATTTCTGTAAAAGTAACTGGATAAAGATGGAGCATAAACTGCCTCCTTCCCACTTTTCCCTGGTGACTACAGTGGTCTTATTGTGGAATTTCATCACCCCTTCCTTCTTTATGCAAATGCACAACTGTAGTCCGAGGGGGGCTGCTCCTTGATGGTTCTCAGTAAACAATATGATGCTGCCTCCATTACTCTGAAGCGTGCTTTTAAAACCAGACTATGGACTGGGACTGGGGCTCAGTGGTAGAGGCCCTCAGCTCCATTCCCAACAGATAGATGATTGATTGAGTGGTAGATAGATAGATAGATAGACAGACAGACAGACAGACAGCTGAAAAGGGAAACCAGAGCCCACCTCTCAGACTCTCTCCCTGGTGCTCAGTCCTCCTAAGACAGACAGCAGCTGACCGCTGTGGAACTGGGAATGCAATGCTTTCTGGGAAAGGATCCTACTAGTCTGTACCCCTGGGTCTCATGGCCCCTCTGTGCTTCCTTCTAGGCCCTGCCCTATGTGGCCCTTCTGATCGTGATGCTGTTCTTTATTTATGCAGTGATTGGGATGCAGGTATGAGGACCTCTGCCTCCTTGGTCTCTTCCCGTTCCCCAGCACTGCAGCCCCTTCCCACGTCCTTCCTCTCTTCTGACGTTTGTTCCTGCCTGTCACTCAATGTCCAAAGAGCTGAAACTTCCCCAATAGGATGTGCTATAGGCCGTGGGCAAGAGACAGCACAGGGATCCCTTCTTTCTTACAGTAGCAGGCTTGGGTTCTGCAGTGGGAAGACACACATAAATTAAGCAGTGGGACTCGGGAGAGAACAGCCTCATCAGAGAGATGCAAAAAGTGGGTGTGTGCCACCAGCATCCTCTGCTTTGTCCACATTTGATGTGCCTGATTTGGGGTGGGGAGAGAAGAGAAAGCGCCACCCATCAAACATGCAGCCATTTTCAGGAGCCTCCCAGGGGCCTGCTGCACTTTCTCTGTTCCCTCACCCAGAGTCCCCCCACCCCTTCAGGGCTCCAGCTGAGTGCAGGTTCTATGAGGCACTGTCTCCCCAGCCAAGCATGTATACTTGTCAGGATCTTCCCTTAACAGTTCCCTATATAAAATCCCTAAAAGTTCCTGAGGGAAGACAAAAAAAGACCTACCTTGACATCAGATACGGGGAGACGGCATTGGCAGCTTCTTGGAGAAGCATAGGTTCAGAGGACCAGGGAAAACACAAGCAGGCCCCTGACATCGGGAATGAAGAAAGCTTGTCCAAGCTCTGGGCCGCCCATTCCATATCACTGCAAAAATCCAAGGATCTCCTGTGTATTCGGGACCTGGAGATGTGAGGGCGAGAAGGCAGTGAGCCCTGGTTCCTACAGTGAGCACCCTGACCTCAGCATCCATTTACCACTTTCAGCCCCAGCTTCCCCTGGGTGGGAGACCTTTCCTGTGGGCTGAGGGCACGTTTCTTCCTGAGGTTTTCCATGCTGGAACTAGGGTCCAGGGATCAGGGGACAGCAGGTGTCTGCTGGGTCACATCAGAGGCTGCTTGGCCAGATAGTCCCAGAGGGCCTGTTAGACAGTGTCTGGAGATGAGCATGCTGTCCTTCTCTGGACCCTGAATTCCTCTTTCTTCAGGTGTTTGGGAAGATCGCCCTGAACGACACCACAGAGATCAATCGGAACAACAACTTCCAGACGTTCCCCCAGGCTGTGCTACTGCTCTTCAGGTGGGTCTCTGATGATGTAGGTGCACACACACACACACACACACACACACACACACACACACACTTGCAGGGCTACTGCTCTTCAGGTGGGTCTCTGATGATGTACGTGCACACACACACACACACACACACACACTTGCAGGGCTACTGCTCTTCAGGTGGGTCTCTGATGATGTAGGTACACACACACACACACACTTGCAGGGCTACTGCTCTTCAGGTGGGTCTCTGATGATGTAGGTACACATACACACACACACACACACACACAGGGCTACTGCTCTTTCAGGTGGGTCTCTGATGATGTAGGTGCACATACACACACATGCACACACACAGGGCTACTGCTCTTCAGGTGGGTCTCTGATGATGTAGGTGCACACACACACACATGCACACACACACACACACACACACACACACACACACACACACACAGGGCTACTGCTCTTTCAGGTGGGTCTCTGATGATGTAGGTGCACATGCGCACACTTACGGGATGATAGCCCATCCCTGGGAGAGCCAAGGGAGCAGGAAAAGAATGGCCTCTTCTCCCTTCCTGCCCAGGCAGTCACATTGTCATTTACTAACTTTCCATGTGCATTCACAAGGCACCACTCACATCTTCTGGGAGTCCCCTGCCCCAGCCATTAGGGGGTCAAAGTTAAACACCAAAAGCATGGTGACTTGGCCTCTGAACTGGGGCATAGGCAAGCCTCAACACACTGACCTTGAGTAACGTGTCTACTTTCTGTAGCACGAATCTTAAAAGGTCTTATTAATAAAAACAAACCTGGAGCCAGGTACTGGGGTCAATGCTGGAAGATCAGAGAAGCAGAACAAGCCACAGCTACCTCACCTTGCCAATTCCTCAGATGATCCTGTTTCCTCAGACTGGAAGCCTCTGAGTCCTCATCCAGAATGAATCTCAGCTGAACTGCTGCTCAAAAGCCTAAAAGCTTAACCAGGCTCTAGTTCCTGGTTCTCACGCCTTATATACCTTTCTGCTTTCTGCCATCACTTCCTGGGATTAAAGGCATGAGTCACCATGCCTGGTTGTTTCCAGTGTGGCTTTGAACTCACAGAGAGCCGGATGGATCTCTGCCTCCCAAGTGATAGGATTGAAGGCGTGTGTGCCACCATTTTCTGGCCTCTATGTCTATCTAGTGGCTGTTCTGTCCTCTGACCCCAGATAAGTTTATTAGGAAGCACAATATATTGGGGGACATAATATATCACCACACCTTTCTCTTACAATCTATTTACCAAGTCATCCTTGAGACACCATACTTCTTGGAGCTCTGCGGCTGAGAAGGTCATTTTCTTACACTGCCCAGAGTTCATGTCTTACACCAGCATCTTGTTCTCTTGGCTCACTATGATCCCCTTATCTGCCTCCATCTTTCCACCTTCCTACTTTGCATGATGTCCCCTTCTAAGCCTCCATCTAGTCCCAGGCTGATAGATGAGACTATTTCTCTCGTCTCTGAGGCAAATGCTTTCCAGGTCCTTGAGGTCCTTTTCCAGAGCATATGGGGCTGTCAGCTGATGCCACCTCCACCATCCCCTACAGAACCTGATCCCACACCCAAGTTTATTGCCGCTCAACATGCATTTATCAAAATGACGAGTCTCCTTAATATCAGCCTGACATCACTGCCGCCCAAACCACACGCCATCAGAACACAAAGCTATTTATTGTAAATCTACTATTTCACAATGGCAAGCTTATGCCGCACGTAAATGCAGGGGATGGTCACAGACCTCAGTCCGGCCACTGGTCTCTCCCTCCTTTCTAAAGTTCTTAACAGCAGAAAATACCTTTTCAAAGAACAAACCCATAACACTGTTAAAGATGGAAAAGAAAAGGATGAGAGAGTGTTACAGGTGAACTAGAAGTGTTGGGGGACTTCTAAAGAAGATGAGGTTCAGTTCACAAAAGAAGGAGACAAGAATAGCCCATTTCCAGACAGTTTGAGACCAGGGAGGGTGTGAGAGCAGCCTGGAGCTTCTCCAATCCAAGTGTCAACAGATACAAGGGACAGGGGAGATCTGGGTCACCGCTCCTGGGCCACTGCTTGAACTGACCCCTCTGGGACTTGCATTCTGGGGAAGTTCGGCTATGCTCATAAGCTGTGACAGCAGCATTTGACATCTCACCCCAGGGCTTTGGAGTCTGAAAGACCCAGCAAAGTGCTCCCTCTCAGGGAACCTCACCTCAGAGAGAAGCTATCCACCAGGCCCCTCAGCCCATCTTGCCTTTGGTCTGTGATTCCCCAGAGAGCTCACAAAAGGACTTCATTCAGACAGCTGGGTTCTCAGTCACAAAGAGCAACTGACAATAACCCCGAAATATTTGAGGAAGCCAAGATCAGGAAGGATGGAAAGGGAGGAAAAAGGAGGGAACAGACCCAAAAGGTTTCAAATGAAATGCACCTCACATTGTGAGGGTGGTTCAAGACTAACACTCCTGCTAAAGTAGAAAAATCAGCGACAGCAGCCATTACTAAACGGAGCAAAGAAGGAAGCGAAAAATGTAAAAGTGAAATATTTTTATTTTCCTTTCTAAAATATTTTTAAATAGATGAGACATATCGCAGAAAGGGTTCATCTAAAACTGTACTGATGAGCTGGAATATCAACTGAGGTTCACTTACTGTATAACCAAAGTGCAAAGAAAAATCAAGTATGAAATAAAGATTAAGACAAAGAGAGCAGAGATAGAAAAATCTTATCATATAATAGAAATTCCAGACAAGAACAGAAGAAATGAGAGTTAAACAATGAGCTGAGCCAATAAAACTTCAAACCAGAAGTAAGCCTTAAGTTTGAAATGGCCCTACTAAGTGCAGAAAAAGTTAACAGGAGAATCCATAACCTACCAGGGGTGGTGGCTCATGCCTATACACTCAGAACTCAGAAGGCTGGAGCAGGGGGATCATGAGTTCAAAGCTAGTTTGGGTTGCATGGCAATATCCTCTCCCAGTCTTATCTCCAAATATCCTTGACTGTTTATTTATGCTGACCTCTCAGAATGTGAGCGATTAAAAAAAAATCTTAAAGGTTTCCAAAGTGTAAAAACTCCAAAACATTGAAGACAGGGAAAATCTTCCAAGTCACTTTTTTGGTTTGTTGGTTTGTTGGTTTGTTGGTTTGTTTGTTTGTTTGTTGGGCCAGCTGTACAAAGACACTCCAAGAAAAGGAAACTATAGACCAGTGATTCTCAACTTTCCTAATACTGCAACCCTTTAATACATGTTCCTCATGTTGTGGTGACTCCAACCATAAAATTACTTTCATTGCTACTTCAAAACTGTAATTTTGCTACTGTTATCAATCATAATGTAAATATCTGTGTTTTCTGATGGTCTTAGGTGACCTTTGTGAAAGGGTCATTCAAAACCCCATAGGGGTCACGACCCACAGGTTGAGACCCACAGGTGCTATAGACAAATATCCTTAATTAACACAAATACAAAAAATCCACAACAGAAAACTAGCAGACTGAATTGAACAGTACAGTAAAAACATCAATCAATATGTACAGGTGGAATTTAAACCTGAATGCAAGTGTGTGGTTCTCCGTATGCAAATCAAGAAGTGTGGTACAGCACATGAACAGAATGAAGGACAAAAACCATGAGGCCGTGTCAGTAGATGAGACTGTGTGACTCATCTGTAGGACCAGGAGGAAAAGGCTTCGTAAGCATAGATGTTAACTATTGAAATGACTCATCTATATGACCAGGAGGAAAGGGCTTGTAAGCATAGATGTTAACTATTGAAAGTCAGCAACTAGAAACATAGAAATTGAATGTGGACATTCCAGAGCGGCGGGGGGCAGGGGAGGGGGAGCACCTATAGCTCAGTGGGGCGCAGTGCTTGTCTGACAAACACAAAGCCCTGGATTGGATTCCCAACACTGCCTGGAAGCAAACCACTAGATAAAACCCTGGTCAGGGGAAACTTCAATGGTTTATCAAAAGGAGGGGCAAAAGTGGTACTTACATAAAGAAACAATTAGATGAACAAAGTAAACGAGAAGAAGAAAGATAATATAAACAAAGATAACAAAAATTAAGCTTGTTAAATTTTTCCATTAAAAACCAAGCATTAGGATCAGCAGAAAGATTCAGTGGGTAATTGTGCTTGCTGGCAAGACTGACAACCTGAGCTTAATCCCCCAGGACCCACGAAGTAGAAGGGGAAATGACCCTTACAGGTTGTTCTTCGACCACCACACATGTGCTGTGACACACACATACCCAAAAATAATTTTTAAATTCTTTAAAAATAAAGATCAGGCATGATGCACACATATGTAGGAATTTCACAGTGAAACCTATTAATTTGTACAATTAATATGATTGAATAATCACAGTTTTTTAAGATTGAGAGTCTACTGTTGATGCTAAGAATTCTAGCCAGGCATGGTGGCACATGCTGTTAGTCCCAGCACTCAGGAAGCAGAGGCAGGCAGATCTCTGTGAGTTGGAGGCCAGCCTGGTCTATAAAGCGAGTTCCAGGATAGCTAGGGCTGTTACACAGAGAAACCCTGTCTCAAAAAACCCAAAATAAACAACAACAAAAAGAATTCTAACTCTAGAATGTTTGTGATAGATACAGTAAAACAAAATGACCCAAAGAGAGTGAAGGTAAAGAGATGGGGATGGAAATACCAGCAATGCTTGCCATGTGTGTGCAGCAGTCACAGCATCTGTAGAGGTAAAATTCCAGGTAAGAAGCATTAAACCAAACCAAGAGGACAATTTGATACTGAGAAAAGGTTTAATCAACCAATAATATATAATAATCACAAACAATATAAGCTTAGCAATATTGTTTGGAAATATGTATAGTAGTAGGACAGAAGCAGAAAATAAACACCTAACAGTGAGTGCTGAATATACAGTCCATAAAAAAATAATAGTTTAACATAGCTGAAAGACCATCTAAATTGTTACCAAAAGGCTGGCCTCTCATAGTTATTGATTTAAAAGACTGTTTCTTTTCAATACCCTTACAAGAAAAAGACAGAGAAAGATTTGCTTTCACAGTGCCTACTTATAATAATTCTCAACCGGTTAAAAGATTTCAATGGAGGGTTCTCCCACAGGGAATGTTGAATAGCCCAACTTTGTGCCAATATTTTGTAAAACAGCCATTAGAAGTGGTACGTAAAAAATTTCCTAAATCTATAATTTATCATTATATGGATGTCATTTTATTAGCTGATTCAAATGCAGATACTTTAGAAAGAATGTTTGAAAAAGTAAAGAAAATTTTGCCTTGCTGGGGATTACAAATTGCTTTAGAAAAGGTACAAAGAGGAGATTCTATTAATTATTTAGGATATAAAATAGAACTTCAAAAAATTAGACCTCAAAAAGTGCAAATTAGGAGAGATCGACTACAGACTCTTAATGACTTTCAAAGATTATTTGGAGACATTTCTCATCTAAGAACTATTGTTGGGGTAAAAAATGATGAACTGAATAATTTGTTTAAAACCTTAGAAGGTGATAAGGACTTAAATAGTCCAAGAGAATTATCACCTGAAGCTGAGAAAGAATTGGCCTTGGTAGAAAAGAAAGTACATGAAGGGCACGTAGATCGTATTAATCCAAAGCTGGATTGCATTTTGGTTATTTTACCTTCTAGGCATTCCCCAACAGAGGTGTCATTTGTAGACCTGTCCTCAATAAGTGGCAAAAAGACACATGCTCTTTGAGCACTCAGAAACATTCCCCCAAAAAGCACCCCCTACAATTTAAATCATAAAGAATTGAACAAGTTCTAAAGCTTCCCCAACATTAATACAGCAGGCTAGAAATTATGCACAGAAACAGCCTCTTTAAAGTCTCCCCACATAAAAATGTTAAGATGCTCCGCTACTCAGCCTGAGCTGGAAGTACAGCTTCTCAGCAATGGGAGCAGGAGCCAGGATGAGATGACTGGTTGATGCCAGAGAAAATGAGAGCCCAAGTGTCCTTACTTGGGAGGTTATATGAGATAAACTGATGGGCAAATGAACATCAAAATAATCCCAAATGATGAAGGAGTTCACTCGTGAAAATATAAGTGTAAGTTGCCAAAATAAAAAACAAAACTAGATTTTTAATCCTTAGAAGTTGATTCTTTGAAAATACCAATAAGTAAATACGCATTTATTAAATATAAACACTAATAAAACAAAAGCACAACACCAAGCATGGGAATGTAGCATAAGTATGGATGCGGAAATGATTTTTAGAGGTGAGTGAATTCCATGCCTCATTTTGCCTCGTCTCTGAGGTGGTCAGCTACTTTATAATGAAGCTACACACCTTTCTGGCCACTGGCTGCCAGACATTCTTTAAAGCAAGCAGTGAACACAAACTTTTTAACTCCTATGAGAAGCATGTAGCCTGAGAAGTGGCCCCTGGCTCTCAGGTGAAGGTTGGGAGGGCTGTGTGCGCTGAGTAAATGCAAAAATGGCATGCTGAAGCGGGCTGTTTACCTCCACTGAGGAATGGGCCTCCCTGTTACTATGGACCCATGGGCACCGGAGAAAGGCAGAAGCAAATCCTACTCTGAGTTGCTTGTATCTTAGCATGTGGTTGCTTTGGGGAAAAGGCAGAAGGATATTCCTGACTGTCTCATTACCTGAACCCCCCCCCCCCCTTCCTGCAAAAGCTGGCAAGATACACAAACCTTCCTGTCTCTTAAAGATTATCTCCACCAATATTTTGTGAAAAGGCCCATAAAGAATGTGAAGATACGCAGGACCAGAGCACCCAGGACTCTGAATCCTGCCTCCCTCAGGTGTCCTGCAACACTAACACTGGCCTATTGCTCCAGGGGAAATCATGTACTAAAAACAAAGGAAAAAAGCCAGGTGCCAAACCGCACCAGAAAAGGAATAAGGCCAGGGGAGCCAGGAATCAGTTGCCAAGTGATGGAGCTGTTCTCCCTGAGACCATCCTTCTATTTCTGCTACTGACCAAAGCCAGTCAAAATGAGAGTTTACAAAATAAGGTCGGACCTTTAGGAAGAAGCAAGTGGTGACAAAGGTCAACACTGACACAGAAAGTGCTGTGAACAAACGTATGCCAATCTTTATGGGAATCTAAATGAAGTAGGCGCTTTAATATTGTTCTTAGTGTTTTAAGTCAGGGTCTCTTTGCCTATTCCTGGCTGGCCTGGAACTCATTATGTAAACTAGCCTGGCCTCAGACTCTGTCTCAAAAGTGCTGGGATTAAAGGTATGTGCCACCACACCCAGCTGCAGGACATGCTTTTATCTAGGAAAATATGGATAATAAAAATTTTGTTAAGAAGAAAAAGTTAGTTCCAGTAGAAGACCATACATACATCCAAGAATAGCTGGGCAGCAAGAAATTGATCTTGATAGTTTTTTTTTTTAGAAAAAACAAGTATTAACTTTAAAAGCATTGATAAATCAAGAAACTACAAATTTAAAGAACAAATTATTCTTTGAAAAAATGTCCCTGAGTGTAGTTTTCTGGACTGCCACTCACATAAATCAAAGTGAGCACAACCCTTTAGTTCTGGCGTATCGGAGGGGGCAGCCTTCCCTGCCAGGAGCAGATTAGTGCTAATTTTAACACTGAAATGCTCTCAATAAATGAGTAGCATTAACTACAATAGATATTGAAAAAGTTGTCAAAAATCACAGCCTCTGCAAGGCCCACGCTGATGTGTTTTCATCTGTGATCGAGGGCTAAATCATTCTGAGTCACCCAAACTCTCAGGAATAGAAAGAGGCGGGAACCCTCCCCCTCTACCTCCACTCAGCCGAGAAGATGAACTAGTACCGATTTTTTTGAAAACAGAAGCAAGAAGTCACAAACACTACAATGTGGGGTGCTGCCATCTGAAGACAAAGGCTAATTCAGGTAGAAGATGCAAGCAAATCAGTTTTATGACAGTGGGTAGGATCAGTGAGGTGGGAAAGCCACCAAGAAAATGGCCAGCTTGAGATAACCAGTTAGTAAATACAATAGACATATTATGCTATCACTTTTTCTAGGCAATATTTTGTTGAAAGTTCTATCCAGTGCAATAATATGAGAAGGCTGGGCTGGGGCAATGGCTCAGTGGATAAAGTCTCTGCCTTGAGAGTATGCGGACCTGGGTTTAGAGCCTCGGCAGATGTCGTGTGCTCAAAAGAAAGCAAATATATATAAAAATTTGAATGTGTTACAATCCAAATGGATTAAGTTAGAGACAAGCCATATCTGGAATGAGACATTTGTAGTGACTGTAACTAACAAAGGAATTAATGTAAAAAATACCAAGAACTACTTGAAGAAACAAGAAGATACACAACCCATGAGTCAGCAGAGCAAAGCCGTGAGCATCTAGTCAAGAGGAGACAAAATTAAAACTCTCAACCCACTAAGCATTTTAAAGCCATTTTTTAAGAAAGATATTTATTTTATTTCTTTTTGAGATAGGACCTCATGTAGCCCAGGCTGGCCTAGAAAAGACAAATTGAAATATCAGTGAAATATCATTCCACAGCATCATCTAAGGAGCATTCTTCACAATTCACTAACTCCCAGAGCTGATGTGTCTGCAGTGACCAGATGGCACTAGTCTAAACCAGACAAGTGCTACCTGGTAAACATGAAGACATGAAGCATCTCCACTTGGTTGTTCCATTCCTAAGCAGACACCCAAGACTTGAACCTGCATGCTTACTGCAGTGTTAACTGTGACAGCAAAAACAGTCTTTCTGAAAAACCCACTCCCGTAGCAAGGGTGGGTGTTTTAAAGTGCTCATGGAGGGTACTCCTGTGTAGCAGTGAAAATGATCTACAGCTGAAATATGTCTACATGGCTGCATCTAAAAACTTTATATAGATAAAAGAACAAATTTTCAGAAACTTCCTGTGTGTTTTAAAACATTCAAAACACTGCTCTATATTACCATATTTAATGAACATCATCAGCTTCCAGTGAACACCGAATGCTCAATTCCTTTTTAGCAATTCCTCCTGGAAGGTGAGGCTAAGGGAGCCCTGCCTGTGTGGGTGAGAGTGGCCAGCTGAGGTTGGACTCTCTCGCCTCTCTTGTCTAGGTGTGCCACCGGGGAAGCCTGGCAGGATATCATGCTGGCCTGTATGCCCGGCAAGAAGTGTGCCCCAGAGTCTGAGCCCAGCAACAGCACGGAGGGAGAGACGCCCTGTGGCAGCAGCTTTGCTGTCTTCTACTTCATCAGCTTCTACATGCTCTGTGCCTTCCTGGTAAGCTGAGGTGGGACTCAACAGCACAGAGATGGGGGGGGGGCAGTTTCGGGGCAGTGTGGTGTCAGGGCAATCCCAGCAAAAGAGCTGACTTGGGAAGACTGAATTAGTAGAGATATCTCACCCCTGAGAAGGACCAGAAGCCTTGGTGCAGAGCAACTCAGCCAGACTCCATCTGGTCTGTTCATGGCTCTTGTCTCAGTAGCATTGTTCTAGAAGACAGAGATGTGTGGAAACTCTGCATGAACTTGTATGTCTCTGATCCCTTGCTCGTGAGTGAGGGAAAGGTGACCAGACAAAGCCCCTCTCTGTCCCTAGTAACTTGGTACAAAGGAAGCTGTTCTGTCTACATGTAGGATTCATCCCTCACAGTGCTCAGGGGAATAGTGTTGAACTCATGTCCGAGAGACCCAAATTCTAGCAGTCGGCATCCTAAATGCTAACATATTGCTGATATGTAGAAACGTTAGTTTATGACTTGCCTGGGCACTGACTGGTGAAAAAGGGCTTGGGCAGCAAATGTGTAAGTTTTGGCAGGCCTCTTAGAGTACCAACTGTTTCCTGCAGATCATCAACCTCTTCGTAGCCGTTATCATGGACAACTTTGACTACCTGACGAGGGATTGGTCTATCCTTGGTCCCCATCATCTGGATGAATTCAAAAGGATCTGGGCCGAGTATGACCCTGAAGCCAAGTAAGTTCCTAGAGGGAGACCCCCAACCCTCCAAGCTGAGAGGGGGTTGAATGACCTGTAGAAGAGACCCAAGACGGGTCAACATTGCGTGTACTAACTGAAAACCCTGAAATGTATCAGACCCAGAGTGAAGGGTCAAGGGCCAGCAAGAGGAGACCAAGTACCATTCACAAAGCTGGGGAACATATCAGTTGAATGGCAAAGTAAGACTCTAGTGTCAGATAAAACTAGTAACGCTTACATTGGGTCATTTAGGGTTAGATAGACTTCAGCTCCACTTTGACCTCAGGTTTATGGAAATTCTCATTTACCCATAACTGTTATCTGACTATCCCTAAATGCCTTCTGGCCAAATGGTTAGTCAGTTGAGCAACAAATGCATACTGGGATTTAATTGCACTTCCAGAATCCCTTCTACCTGGAGCACAACGCTAGCAAACTTCTTCTGTGATGAAAACTCTAACAAGCGTCCTGGGTTTGCAGTGGTATCATGTATCTCTGCACTGCTCAGGGCCTTCAGGCAGCCCTGCAGGGAATACCCCTTCACCTGGCCCCACCCCAGTACATGACTCCTGGCCTTCTGATGGCCTTTCCTTCTCTCCTTCCTTCTCTAGGGGTCGGATCAAACACTTGGATGTGGTGACCCTCCTCCGTCGAATTCAGCCCCCCTTGGGTTTTGGGAAGTTGTGTCCTCACCGTGTGGCCTGCAAGGTAAGAAATGATCTGGGTTCCTTGGGGGGAAAGGATAAATATGGAATGCTAGATAGCTGTTTGTCTTTGTGATTATTAAGGGAATAAAGATATTTTAGGTATTTAAAGAAACAAATGTGAGCCGGTTTCTATTTTAAGGACCCTTCAAGATCCAAAGTCCCAAGGCTATAAAAGAACAACATCACAGTGAATGTCTTGTGTCCCAGTGAGGGAAACAGGCATCCTATCTAAATAAAGGGTTTATTCAGCCATCAGGCTGTACGGCCCAGGTATCAGGTGACCCTCCTCACCTAGGGTGATGGGTTAGAAACTTTGACGTGAAGTCCGAAAACCGTTAAAGCGGCCACAACTGATGACTCATCACCAAAATACAAACTACCAAAATACAAAATACCCAGACAAGGATCTGCCATTTTTTATCAAATTCCTAAGTGAATCTGTGATCCAAAACCGGTTGGGACAAACACATTGGGCTCTGATAAAAACAGCCTCTGACTGACCTTGAGAGTAGGGACCCTTAAAACCTGCTCTAGATCCTGCCATGTGGCCCAGTAACTGCTGAGAAGCACCCCCTCATTCAGTCACCATCACGCCTCCATTCTCCCCATCTGTGCTTCCTGAGAGAATCCTGACAAGCTCAGAAAGAGCTGGGCAAAGCAATAGCAGAGAGCCTGGCCATATAGAGGAAGAAACACGAACAGCCAATGATTGAACTCCTCGGATAATCCATTCATGGACAACAGAGTTTAGGAAGCCTGGAACTTTTATTCATGCTCTGTGGTAGTCAGATTTCCCTCATCAGTACCCCCACTTTATTCCAAAAAGAACTTCAGGAGATTTCCAGTGATCCTGAAAATATGAGAAATGGGAACCTTCTGTCATTCTGCTTTCTGGTGCTGTAACAAATACCTGAGTTGCTAAACCTGTAAGCAAGTTTCTTTTGGCTCACAGTTTTGGAGGCTTCAATCTGTGATCACTCAGGCCTGTGCTTTGGGTCTGTAGCAGCTTTGGAACTTTGCAGTTATGGAAGAGGCCCACTCACCTTAGGGCCTCTTTACCTCAGAAGCAGAGAGGGAGAAAGAGAGACAAAGATCCCAATACCCTCCTCAAGGGCATGGTTTCCTATAGCTTCTTCCTACTAAGCCCCACCTACTGAAGGGTCCACCACTTCCCAAGAGTGCTGAGGCTGGAAACTGAGCCTTTATGGCATGGCCTTTGGGTGACATTTCAGATGCAAGCTGTAAGAAGTACCAATCAAATAAATGTAAGATCAAACGGCCCAGAGGGAACTGGGATATACAGGTCATGACCTCCACATGGGCCTGTTAGGACCAAGAGCCAGGACTGAAGCTTTCTAACTTGGTGTCTACAAGATTCAAAATGATGCATTCACTCTGGAGAAGTACAACACTTGGCAAAATATCCCCAGGAAGACCCCATGTGGTCTGAGGGGTGACATCACTGCCATCCACAATGGGCATTATAGCACTCTTTCTTCCGATGGCCCCTGGGTCCTGCTGGCTCACCAAGGAAGGAGAAGACCAAGGGAGCATGTTTTGGGGGTGGAGAGCAACAAAACCCTGTTTGGGTGAGTGAATTTGGGATTAGGACTGAAGTAGAGATAAATGTGTCTATATGCAGAGAAAGGGTACTCTATCCCCATAGAGCTGCCTCATAGTCCTTTTCTTTGGAGTTGGATAATTCTGTCTGTTAGGCAGGTGGCTGTTCTTGCTGCTCATAGAGAGCATAACTGTGTCTGTAGTCCCGAGCACAGGGCAGGAAAGACCCCTTGTGAAAGCAAGGGTCTAAGGAAGGTGGAGGCCCAGGAGTATTTACCACAAAGCCTAGTTTCTCCCTGGAAAAGCTTTGAAAACACTGTGGTGACCACATGCAAACCCCTCCCATTCCCAACAGTACCCATCCAGGTTTCTAGGGCCCTTCCTGCTACAATGCTTGTGCAGAGCCTCTAAGAACCGCCTGTCCTTGTCACTGATTTAGTCTCCTTTTCCCTCCAGCGCCTGGTGTCCATGAACATGCCTCTGAACAGCGATGGGACGGTCATGTTCAATGCTACCCTGTTTGCCCTAGTCAGAACAGCCCTGAGGATCAAAACAGAAGGTAATGGCTCTCATAGACCACTGGTGGGAGGGTGCCGAGGAAGGTCTAGCATCCCCACCGGAAAGATGTTTCTGCCTACACAGCATTAGTGCAGAATAACATGGACAGCCTGCACTCTGACTCTCCAAGAGGTGCATCACACTTACATTTTCTTTGGTTCCTAAATGGCCCCCTTGCCATAGCTTATTTATTTTGAACTTTTCTTTTCTATCAAACCCTAGAAATTGCCCTGGTAGCCTCCTGAGGACTAAATGTTTAATGCAAAACATGGAAGAGGTGGTTGTTATGCAGAGCAGGACAAGCCCCATACGGATGGACTTGTATTAGCAACAGGCATGTCTCCCAAATATTCAGTTCTCTTTTGAAATTAAAAGGACCTGTGTTGGGAAGGTGACAGTGACAAGCAGTGACTGTGGTAAATAGAGGTCATTGCCTGCAGTTGCTAAGGGTTACGATCCCATGTATGCTACACTACTCAGGCTGTACCCCCTCAGTCTGCTCACAATAGAGGGGCCAAGAGCTGCCCTGTGGGTTAGAAGCAGTCCTGGTGAAGGCGTCTGTTGTCATGTCACTGAGAAGTACTTTGAACTGCTCTGGGATAGGCTTCGTGGACACACCCCAGAAGACGCTGCTGCTCCCCAAGACCCAGCTTAAGTGTGTGGTCAGAGAACAAGCCTCAGAACCGTGAGCTGCTGGAAAGGCTAGCTCTAAGCACACGCTGCATCTGTGACTCCACGTGTCTGAGCTTGGGAACCTGCATTTCGAGATAGCTGCATAGACTTCTCATGTCTGAACTAAAGTTGACACCACGAGGACAACCTGAGAGCCCCAGGCTTCCAGCCAGTGTCCTTGGTGCGGTGGAAGGGCACTGGGCATCACACACGATGGGGCACAGCATGTGTAACTACTTACGGTCCTGCTTCACTTTCCATCTTGTGAAATAATGAGAGTCGGTGGCATCTGGCATTTACTTCACAGGGTCTCCCAGAGAGCTGCCTTCTTTGCATTCTTCCAGAAAGTAACAGACATGAGAGAACCAAGAACCAGTCCTGCAAGAGACCGGGCAGGGAGATAGGTCAGCCAACCTTTGCAAAATAAAAATGGATCAAATTCTCCCGGTAAACTAAAAAGAAAGAAAAGCGGGGGAAATGCCATTAGTAGTTAGTGCAAAACTTGAATCTAGGGTAGGTATAAATAGGCCTAATGAGAGATTTTGATGAGAGAGAATTCAATACACACTTAATGCACGTGTGTACATAACAGACAAAACTAGAAGAATGTCTGCTGACATACATAATATTAATATTGAATATCACTGTGTGACGGAGCCTTTTTTCAGCTCCAGCCTTTCCAAATTTTCTACAGTAAATATTATTTCCTTTCTCTTCCAAGGGAAGGGCTTCCTTTTCCAAGGAGAAAAGACAGAATGACTACTAGAAGAGATGTGTTGTGATACTTAAAGCTTGCTATAAATTAATAATGCAGGTTTTGGCTCCAGGAAGGACTAAAAAGCACTTGTGCATGGAAGCCAAGATTTAGCAGTGCTGAAGATGGACTGCGCAGGCAAACCAGATCTCAGTGAAATAATGCCAGCACCTGAGGGGCTGCCAAACACTCAATCACAGAGAACCGCTGTTAGCAAATGGGAATTCCTGGGGAGAGAAGCCAGCCAGCGGGACATACAGTTAATTAAGAATTAAAGATAAACTCTTAAATATAAAGGCTCTTGGGAATAGCCACCAAGGGCATTTAATTCCCCAGTATTTGAGGCAGAGCCTTCATCCAAAACAGGCCCTCTATGAACTTGTTACATAAGAACAGAGTCAACACCACACTCAGACAAGAAATGGGGGAAAACACCAACATTTATCGTGATAAGACTGATCAGTCTTCACTTGCCCTTCAAGCATTTGTAAAAAGTTGAAGTAACTAGAAAAAAAAATTAACATGACCTTGGGAACTAGAAACCTCATCCCAAGCCAAGTATCAAGCTGAATAAGATTTTCTATTGGAACACTAAAAGAAAAAGATATTAAATTTAAATTAGGGCTTGGAGTATAGTGGTAGAGAAGGTGTCTAGCATGCACAAGATCCAAGATTCAGACCCCAACACTGAAAACAGAACAATAAAAATAAAATGTATACAATATGAAACAATTACTGGTGAAATCCCACAGTTACATTGGGTTGTTATTGAATAAATGAAGGCCTAAAAATGTGTAGGATCCTTTGAAATATACATTTGTTCCGTAGGTCTGACTAAATGATTACAAATTTGGTTCCTCTCACAATTTAAGAGAGGAACCGTCCAAAGTAAGGTGTTAGCAGGCTGGTTCTTTCTGGAGGCCTTGGGAGAGAATGGGTTCCACGTCTCTCTCTGTTTTCAGGTGGTCTCAAGTACCTCACTCCATCCCTCAGTCTCTACCACTCTTCACAGTATGACCTAGTCTGTGTGCCTCTGGCCTTTTCCTCTTGCCTTAATGTCACCAACCACATTGGATAGGTGGTCTACCCTAACACATCATGACTTTATAGTTAACTCTGTGAAGACCCTGTTTCTAGATATCTTAGTTAGGTCTTCTATTGTGAAGATACACCATGACCACAGCAACTCTTAAAAAGGAAAACATTTAATTGGAGTGGCTTACAGATCAGAGGTTCAGTCCATTATCATCATGGTGGGACATGGCAGCATGCAGGCAGACATGGTTCTGGAGAAGGAGCTGAGAATTCTACATCTTGATCCGAAGGTAACAAGAAATGGGCTGAGTTTCACACTGAGCAAAGCTTGAACAAAGGAGACCTCAATACCCACCCCCACAGTGACACACATCCTCCAACAAGGCCACACCTACTAATAGTCCCTCTCCCTATGAACTTATGGGGGCCAATAACATTCAAACTACCACATTCCACTCCCTGGCCCCATAAACTTGTAACCATATCATAATGCAAAATACATTTAGTCCAACTTCAAAAGTCCCCATAGTATAATCATAGTCTCAACAATGTTTTAAAGTTCAAAGTCTCTTCTGAGAGTCATGCATTCTCTTAACTATAATCCCCTATAAAATCAAAATAAAAAAAAAAACAGATCACATTGCTTCCAACATAATGGCACAGGATATACATTACCAATCCAAAACATAGGGAAGGGAGCATAGTGAGGAAATACTGGACCAAAACAAGACCAAAAGCCAGCTGGGAAAACTCCAAACTTTGCATCTCTATGTCAGATGTCAAAATACTCTTCAGATCTCCAACTCCTTTCAGTTTTGTTGACTGCAACACACTTCTCTCTCTTGGGCTGGTACCACTCCCTGTTAGCAGCTTTCCTCAGCAGGTACCCCACAGCTCTGGCATCTCTAATATCTTGGGGTCTCCAAGGCAATCCAGGCTGCTGCTTCTTCACAGCTTCACACAATGGCCTTTTTAGACCTCCATTCAGGGACACCTCTGACACATGCCTGGTCTCAGTGGCTTTCCTTAGTTGCTCCTTGACTCTAAAGCCAGAACCATGTGGCTGAAGCTGCCAAATTCTGCTGCTTACATGGGCTGGAACATGCCCCCCTTGTTCAATTACATCTTCATCAGCTTTCTGTTTACCATGGTTTCCTTCACTGCCTGAACTTGGCTATTCTGGAACTTGGTCTGTAGACCAGGCTGGCCTCAAACTTAGAGATCCTCCAGCCTCTGCCTTCTGAGTACTGGCATTAAAGGCATGTACCACCACACCTGGATCTAAGCTTTTCTTTAATTCCTTTTCACAAGTTGGAAACTTAGCTGGGTGGAATCTTGCCCTGAGGTTACCACTCCCTTTTTTCCATTATTTAATCTGTTTGTCTCCTTGAACTTAAGACTTGGTTCCATTCTACTCCCTGGTGCTCTTTTTCTCCTCAAATTGTACACTTTGCTCAGCTTGTTCCTTTTCATTATAAATCTTCACTAGAGTTCACACTAATAACCACATTACAGAATCTTTATTAGGCTGTTTCAAGATTTCCTCTGCCAAGGGAATTAATCCAAAACTTTTCAATTTAGTTGCAGGCAGACTTTTTTGACAAGGGCAAAAAAACAGCCACATTCTTCACCAAAATATCACAAGAACAATCTTTAGCCGAAGTACTAAAATTCTTCTCCTCTGAAACTTCTTGAGCCAGGCCCCAACAGTTCATCAAACTTTATTCAGCACCACTGTCTTCCAGTAGTACTTAAAGCACTTAAAGCATTCAGCTGCTTTTCTAGTCCACAATCCCAATGTCTGTATTCCCTTAAACAAAAGCATGGTCAGGCCTATCACAATAATACCCCACTCCCAGTACCAACTTCTGTCTTAGCTAGGGTTTCTATTGCTGTGAAGAGACACCATGACTACAGCAACTCTTACAAAGAAAACATTTAATTGAGGTGATGGCTTACAGTTCCAGAAGTTTAGTCCACTATCATCATGGTGAAACATGGTGGCCTGCAGGTAGACATGGTGCTGGAGAAGGAACTGAGAGTAATACATCTTGATCTGCAGGTAACAGGAAGTGAACTGAGTGTCACACTGAGTGAAACTTGAGCAAAGGAGACCTCAAAGCCCACCCCCACAGTGACACACTTTCTCCAACAAGGCCACACCTACTAATAGTGCTGTTCCCTATGAGATTGTGAGGGTCAATCACACTCAAACTACCACCCTAAATAAATTCACCTTCTGAGTTTTCAAGTAGATATGAGTTTGGGAGTACTCCTTTCAACCCAAAATAAAAGATAAGTTCATTTGCACTTTGTTATAGTCAGGATTCTTTGACTGCATGTGTCAGAAACCACTAAGTCCAGAATGGTGGTACATATCTGTAATCCCAGCATTTGAAAGCCCAATGCGGGAAGATTATGTGTTTGAGGCAAATCAGGGATACATAATAAGCTCTTGTTTCAGAAAACAAACAAAAAGGAAGCTATGAACAACCTCCAGGGAAGGGAACCGAAAGTATGTTGGACGGCCCAGGAGTCCAACAAAGCCCAGGACTGGCTTTAGCTTCAGTTTAAATTTGATGCTCAACATGTTCAGGAGCCATCACTCACTCCTCCTGAGTCCTTCTGCTTGCTCCCATGTGTAGCTAGAGTTTTCCTGCATGGCCCACAGTCAGGGCAAATCTCTGTCACCTGCCAGTCCCACAGACACTCAGACCCGGCCAAGTAAACACAGAGACTTATATTGATTACAAACTGTATGGCTGTGGCAGGCTTCTTGCTAACTGTTCTTACAGCTTAAATTAATCCATTTCTATAAATCTATACCTTGCCACGTGGCTCGTGGCTTACCGGCATCTTCACATGCTACTTGTCATGGCAGCAGCTGGCAGTGTCTCCTCCCACCTTCTGTTCTCTCCTTTCTCCTCTCTGTTAGTCCCGCCTATACTTCCTGCCTGGCCACTGGCCAATCAGTGTTTTATTTATTGACCAATCAGAACATTTGACATACAGACCATCCCACAGCACCCAGAGCTGGGTTTGAACTCAGGCAGTCTGACCCTGTAGCTCACGCTGTTTGCCATCACTACCCATACGATAAATGTTGCTTCCAGCCATATCCTCTTCCCAGTGCTATGAAGCAAACCCCATAAACTTCACAGCTTCAAAGAGCACCCAGTTACTAGCTCACAGTTCTATCAGAAGTCCAGCTATGGAGACGTGGGGCAATCTGCTCAGGGACTCCCAAGGTCAAACTCAGTACACTAATTAAGCCAGGGGAAGATGCCACCCCCAAGCACATTCAGACTGTGACTGAAATTCTTCTCCCACTACTGTTGGTGTGTGGTCCATCCTTCCCTGCGAGCTCCCAGTCAGCTGGGGATGACTCTTAGCTCCCAGAGACTGCTACCTTTGCTCAGTACACAGTATTCATTCATCTGGGCCTGTCAGGGCCCATGTGTCCTACTTACTCTTCTGCTCCCAGTCAGAGAACGTACTAGACTTCTTGTAAAATAATCTTTTTAGTACATATACAGTGAACAAAGTATAGTTACATATACATATGAATTCTGGACTTTTAATGGGCTCCTGTGGTTAGGTCATAGGCATCGTTGCCCTTTGGTCAGGTTGTAGGTGCTGTGTGACATAATCAATCACAGGAATACCATGTATCATATTCTCACTCCATGGGATTTCACAGTGCATGCACACTGGTAGTGAAGGGCAGGTATCCTTGGGAGGACCCTAGAACTAGCACATCCCCTCTTACAATTGCTTTTTAGCTTTGCTTCTCCACCAGTATGAGACTAGTGTCTCAGGCAGCATGCGTCTAATGAAGTCCGAACTACCAGAGCAGAGGCCTTCAGGTTTCTGCCTCCACTGTTAGATTTCTCCACTTCCTTCCCTGGGGGACTCATCAGAGATCCTTTGGACACATATGTGCCCCCTGTGTTGTGTATGTGTGCAGGAGGAGTGGATCATCCTTCCTGCAAAACCTCTCCATTTCCTGCAGCTGCACAAGGAGGTTGTCTTAGTTAGGGCTTACTATTACTGTGAAGAGACACCATCATCACGGCAACTCTTATAAAGAAAACACTTAATTGAGGGTGGCTTGCTTATAGTTTCAGAGGTTCAGTCCATTATGCTCATGAAGGGAAGCATGGTGGCGTGCACACAAACGTGGTGCTGAAGCTGAGAGTGCTACATCTTGCAGGCAACAGGAAGTCAACTGATTGTCACACTGAGTGAAGCTTGAGAAAAAGACCTCAAAGCCCACCCTCACAGTGACACACTTCCTCTAACAAGGCCACACCTCCTAATAGTGCCACTCCCTTTGGGAGCCATTTTCTTTCCAACAACCACAGAGGTCATTGTGAAATGTCAGCCTCAGGATCAGCCTGGATGCTGCCCTGCAGGGCAGACAGTGTTGAGGCTGAGACGTGAGTGTCTGCAGGTGCCATGAGGCTCTTTAGCACTAACCAAAAGTGAACGTGGCTTTCGTTCAGGGGGACTTTCAGCTAGCTTGCAATGGAGTCAGAAAGGAAGGAGAATGGCATTGGACAGGGCAAGAGAGGACAGTCACAAGGAAAGAAAGTAAAGAGAGGGAAGGGGGAAGTGAAATGAACTAGAAACTATGTGATGCCTCAGTGTGACTTGTGGGGCTTCCCAGCACATCAGGGATGTTTTCAGTCTGCACTTCCTTCTATCAGGGAACCTAGAACAAGCCAATGAGGAGCTGCGGGCCATCATCAAGAAAATCTGGAAGAGGACCAGCATGAAGCTGTTGGACCAAGTGGTGCCCCCTGCAGGTGGTGAGTGTTCCCTGCATTCCCAGACCAGGGCTACTGGCCCAGCCAGTAGGATTTCTCCACCTTCCTGTCCTCCAGCTGTGCTATCATTGGCAGTGCAGGCACAGCCCTTGAGACTACCATGCTTGAGTCCACTGTGCTTCTGGATCCTTCTTTCTCTGGAACCTTCTGTGGGCTCAGAGGACCTACTTGGTTGTCATGTTCTGCACAAGCTTGGATGCGAACTATCCATTTGGAAACTTGCTGTAATCCCACATTCACACGTGGGGACAGGCAAGCCCTTCCATGCTTAGGGGTTTGCCAGAACTTTCGTGGGAACGCTACAATATATGGGTATAGATTTACCCATAAGCCACCAGGCTGACTTCTCTAGATTTGCTGTAGAGCTCTGAAGGAAAGTTGCCTGAGATTTACTACATCTTTTTAAAAGCTCATTTTTCCCCCCCAGAGTAGCATTTCTCATTCTTGCCAAACCACAAGCCCCCTTTCATAGCAAGTACTTCATACCATTCCTATTACAACCCCAAATTGAAATCGTAGATAATCTGCCCACACTTGTCATTTCCACAGCACTAGTAGAATGCTTTTCAATGAGGGATATTAAAAGCAAATGCATTCAATATAAAAATGCTCAATACACCTGTACAGAAAGCTATAACTGATGAAATCTTCACATGAAACACTTAGAATGAAACATTGTTGAAAGTAAACAGGATAGCATTAAATGCTGTGAACACTTTTCATTTGTCAGGTATATCATATTAGCATGTTAGTTGAGCCCACACATTCCGGAAACGTCCTTAAATGGTGAGACTTCCTGTTTGAGACCCACTTCCAATGGGGAAAGCAAGGTGTACTGGGAGTCACCATGTGCCACCTAATGCTCTGCTGCTTCATTTCATTTACTGTCCGAAGCATCTCTATGAAGTTCACTCCAGGCAATGATGTTCTTAGAAGCTATGTAGACTTCCAAGTGCGTGCAGTGTAGACTCAGATGTCCGACTCAGGTCTGAGGGAACTTAGGATTCCAAGTTCATTCCCAATTTCCCTCCAGGGTTTCTATTTCTAGGGTTGTCCCTCTGAGTAGAAATGCCCCATGGTAAGCCCAGAACTTCTGTAGGGTTGGCTACTCTGAAGGAACAATGAGGATTGGAAAGCCATTGCAGGTCCTAAGGCCCAGCCCAACCTCTTACACAGAACAGGGGACAAGAGAAAGGGACCACTTGCTTCTCATGAAACACTTCCCTTGGGGACTTACAGCTTCTCTACCAAATCCTAACACCAAGACTATGTCATGTGTGGTCTTGTGTGCCCAGCCCAGCAAGGATCCATGGTCTAAGCCAGTCTAGCTGGCTGGAAGGGAAGTCACCAGCCTTAAAGAAGGAAGCACCCCACCACTACCACTGGCCCCTCTCACCCAACTAGCATTGTGTTGACAATTAAGAGACTGGTCATTTGATGGTAAATGGAATCAAACAAGACTTAGTAATGTCCATTCAGGAAGGTGGAAAAAACAAGGTGTGAAGTAACCTTAATAATATCCTACCTTTTTTGTAAGGGGAAAAATGAAAAGAAAAAAAAAACATCAGCTGGGCACAGACATCAGCACATGCTTCTGGTCCCAGCTACTCAGCAGGGAATGGGTCACTTGATCCCAGGAATTGGAGGCCATTTGGACAAGATAGGGAGATCTTGTCTCAATTTAAAAGGAAGAGGGGGAGGAAGGATTGTAGGAGCCAGAGGTATTGAGGATACCACAAGAACACAGCCCACAGAATCAGCTAACAGGATCATAGGGGCTCAGAGACTGAAGTGAGCGTCAGGGAGCCTGTATGGGTCTGAGTTAGGTCCTCTACATATGTGTTATGGTTGTGTGGCTTGTTTCTCTTGTGGGGCTCCTAACTGGGTTTAGGGGTGTCTCTGACTCTTTTGCCTGCTCTTGGGACCTTTTTCCTCCTTCTGGCTTGCCTCATCCAGCCTTGATATGAGGGGATGTACCTAGTCTTATTGTAACATGTATGCCGTGTTCAGTTGATATCCCTGGGAGGCCTGTCCTTTTCTGAAGGGAAACGGTGGAGGAGTGGATCTGAGAGAAAGAGGAGGTGAGGAATGGAGGGAGAGGAAACTGAGGTTGGGATGTAATATATAGGCAAAGAATAAATTTTGAAAAAAAAAGAGGATAAGAACATGCTTGCTTATTTCTAGAAAAGAACTCAAGAAACTAGTGATGTGATGAGCTGTCACATTTCTGATATTCCTGATAAGCAGACAGGAATATGGTGACTTTTTAACCATGTACCTTTTTACATGTTTTCTTTTGTACTAAAAAATTAAAGCTAATATGTTAAAGAAGTTTTAGGTGCTGAAAAAAATCAAGGAGTTTTGGTGGAATCACTCATCCTGTCCTCCTCTCTGTGTGCCTTAGATGACGAGGTCACAGTAGGCAAGTTCTATGCCACCTTCCTGATCCAAGAGTACTTCCGAAAATTCAAGAAGCGGAAAGAGCAGGGGCTGGTGGGCAAGCCTTCGCAGAGGAACGCACTGTCCCTGCAGGTGAGGGGCTGGAGGGAGGTACCCACACACAAAGGTCCGGGTCACCTCCCCTGACCCTACCACAGTCCAAATATCGCTACCTGCCTAGAGGCCAGGTCCCATCCCAAGAAAGCTCATAAGCACTCCGAATCTTCCTGAAGGTGGCTGTGAGAGGGCAGTGGTCTTCCTCTCTTGCATTCTTGCCCACATACTTCCCTCAGCCATCCTGCCAGCTTCCCCCAGCCCCCAGTCCCTTACCACATCTGCTCCCGAGACCGCAGATTCTTGGTGGTCCTGTAATATGCCTTCATGTCTCCTAGGGTGGTTGGGTGGAGGATTTTCCAGAGAAGCCCGTCTCCTGGTGTAGATGCTCAGCTGCCTGGCAGAGAAGCAGAGAGGCAGGGGGTTGGGGAGGAGCAACTGGGTCCTGGCTGACTAAACATCAGTAGAAAGTCTTCACACATCCCTCTGGGTTCCAGGCTGGCTTACGCACGTTGCATGACATTGGGCCTGAGATCCGACGAGCCATCTCTGGGGATCTTACCGCTGAGGAAGAGTTAGACAAGGCTATGAAGGAGGCTGTATCTGCTGCCTCTGAAGACGACATCTTCAGGGTAAGTGCCATGACTAGTGTCTTCACAAAGTTCAGTTTGGAACAACGATGCTGCTGTGCTAACTTGGTGTTTGCCTGATCTCTGAGGGGTGCCACATTCCTCCTGATCAGCTGTCTCCTGATTCCCTACCTCCTTTCCAAGCCAACTCCGTGCCATGCTATCCTCCTAGGACACAGCAGCTCAAAATACAGCCAGCTCTCAGAGAACAGGGGGAGCCTGTTTCTGTAAAGAAATTTTCCTAAAGAAGTTTCTCATCAGAAGGTGTGGAGTAGGAACTCCTGGGCCACATCTAATCTGAAAACCTGTTTTATTCACCAGTATTTGAATATCTGACATAATACAAACTTCTGGCTTTTGTTGGAGAAAAAAATCAGGTTGAGTGGCCACATTAGGTGTGGGTTTTTATGTGGTAGCTAGACAAGCCGTGGTTGCCTTATTAAGGTGGAGCATGTGATATCCCAGTCACAGTGATACCCTCTAGGCCTCCTCCTCCTCTTTTCCTAGAGTAATATTAAGGCAGTGGGAAAAATCACACATTGCTGTGCCATACGCCTGCAGTCTCCTATCTGGCACCCTCACTTCTGCTTCTTGCCAATCCCAGTCCCCAGGTCTGGTTCCCAGGCTGTAATTCACACAGAGAGCCAAGCCCAGCCCACCCTGCCATGACCAGCCTTGCATCCCCATCCTTACTGCCATCATTGAGATACCATCAGTGAATGGCCTCAGAGATACAGAACCATGGTAACACCACCCTTACAAGACCTAGAAGCCAAGGCCTGTCACCAGGACCCAAGATGTAGCTGGAGTTTTCCTGCCTGGCCCACAGTCAGGACAAATCTCTGTCACCCGCCGGTCCCACAGCCACTCAGACCCAACCAAGTAAACACAGAGACTTATATTTCTTACAAACTGTATGGCCGTGGCAGGCTTCTTGCTAACTGTTCTTATATCTTAAATTAATCCATTTCTATAAATCTATACCTTGCCACGTGGCTCATGGCTTACTGGCATCTTTACATGCTGCTTGTCATGGCGGCGGCTGGCAGTGTCTTCCTCACTCAGCCTTCCACTTCCCAGCTTTATTCTCCTCCTTGTCCCGCCTATACTTCCACCAATCAGTGTTTTATTTATTGACCAATCAGAGCACATACAGACCATCCCACAGCACCACAGACCTTATGATATATCAAACTAGACAAACCTTGCAAACCACTATCCCTCCACCCTGCCCCTAACCACTACTCCCCCATCCCTCGCTCCAGGACAAAGAAGGAATAGTGGAGAAAAATACTTGTTCCTGACTTTGAATCTCAAAGAGCCCCTACAGAAAAGGAAGCCGTGATGTAATCAATATAGTAGATGCTTGACTCTTAGTTTCAATTTGGCCCATACAGCTTGTCGATCCACCAGCCGCTTGTGTGTCCACTAAAACAATCTGGTTCACATCTTCCATTCCTTCTTCCCACCCCTCAGCACTCACAGCAAGCTCCACCAAGCTAAGCAGCTGGTTTCTCTGAAGGACCGCCATCTTGGACTGTCCTTGACACCCAGCCTCAGTCTTTGATGCTCTTTTGTGAACAAACGTCCAGGGAGGCTTCTAGACCAGCAACCTCCTGCCTGCCCAGGCCCATGAGGGAATTCCTGTCCTGGTGCTACGTGTAGGGGAATTGTGGAGCCATGAGCATCTAAGCCCCTCCCTCTCCCATGTGCCCAGAGTGCGTGCCTCTCTGGAGGGCAAGATGACTTCCCATGGCCTGTGCTTCTTAACCACTGCCATACACAGAGTAGGGAGGGGGTGTAGAGAAGGAGGAGGAGAGAGAAGCCTTCTCCACCTACCCCTCTGTCTTGTCTACAGAGGGCTGGAGGCCTGTTTGGCAACCATGTCAGCTACTATCCAAGTGACAGCAGGAGCAACTTTCCTCAGACCTTCACCACCCAGCGCCCCCTGCACATCAACAAGACGGGAAACAACCAAGGTGACACGGAGTCACCGTCCCACGAGAAGCTGGTGGACTCCACTTTCACCCCCAGCAGCTACTCCTCCACGGGCTCCAACGCCAACATCAACAATGCCAACAACACTGCCCTGGGCCGCTTCCCCCATCCCACTGGCTACTCCAGCACAGTCAGCACTGTGGAGGGTCACGGGCCCCCCTTGTCCCCTGCTGTCCGGGTACAGGAGGCAGCATGGAAGCTCAGCTCTAAGAGGTAAGCAGGAGGGTAGGCCTGAGCATGAGGGTTCGCACACCCTAGCCTGGACACCAGGAAAGACAGACTTAGACCCCGCAGCCTTCTGCGCGGCCTCCAGTCTCCAGTGGAGGCCGCTGCCCTGAACTAGAGGTTGGAGCCGGCTTGCCGCCCACATCTGTTCCTGCTCACACATGACAATGACAATGAGGACATTGCTCTGTTTCCCAGGTGTCTCCCGAGATGCCTTACCTATGACAGTCCTTTTCCCTCTCTTCCCCCCTCAGGATGTTGACCTGTGACCCTCCAAGATGTGTGACTTGGGCCTGTACAACACAACCAGCCCCTGCCCTTTCCCAGATCCCTAAGCCTGGCTTTTCACCTCGTTGAGATTGGCCAGTGTGTCCACCTCTGTAGCAGTAGTGCAGAGTAGGTCCTGGGGTGTTGACCGTGTCGGGGTCTTGACCGTGTCTCCCACCCGGCCCACCCTTTCCCCACTTGCCTGTGCTGTAGGACACACCGCTATGAGACACAGGTATGGTGCGTGCTATAACTGCTCGAGGCCCTAAGGAAGCGTGCCCTGGGCTCCGGCAGGTCCCCTCTTCATCTGCTTCATAGCTGTAGGCTCCTGAGGAGGGGACTCCCTCTGTCTTGTTCATCACTCTTAACTGGCTGCCCTTCCAGCCCACGGGTTCTTGGTGCGACTGTTCTTTTCCTTGCCCTCTGACCTAGAATATCAGCAAGAATTTCAGGCATCTCTTCTGAATCCCAAGTGTCCTAATCCACGAAGCAACATACCTGCTCACTGGTTTTCACACAGTCCCATTTCCAGGTGGCCATATGCAAGTCTCCATGGCCCGTGCATTTGAAGGGTGTTGCCATGGCATCCATCCTGCCTACTGTGTACTCCGGGACTCTGGCTGCTTTAGCCACCCCACAGCAGTGCTGGCTGAGCCCATGGACCCAAGGAGTGTGTGCTGGCTCCACCTAGGAGGTTATTAAGAGGAAGCGGTTGTCCCATGCCTGTTCTGGTGGCCCTACCCTTTTCTGCAACACTACACTTGTCCCGCCACCTTTGAGGACTCAGCCGAGTACTAGCTCTTCCCTGCTGTGCCTTGTGAAAACCTCTGACTGTCTTTTTTAAACTTTCATTTTATTTAGTTTTTTTTCTTTGACAGTTTCATATACATATGGAATATATTTTCATCATATTCACCCCCCCATCTCCCTCTCTTATCTCCTTTTACACCCACTAGTCTCCTTCCTACTTCTTTGCCTTTCTTTTGTATGTGGCCCACTGAGTTTAGTTAGGGTTGCTTGGATATGGATGGGTAGAAGGTTCCACACTGAAGATGAGCCCCCATTCTCCTCCCCTCAGCCAATAGCTCCTCATGGAGGGGTGGAACCTCCTGAGCCCTGCCCCCTCCATGATGGTGTGTTGATAGGCCCAGTCTTGTGAGAAGGCAGCAAACAGTGGGATCCTCCAGCTCTCCCCAGATGTTCCTTGAGCCTCTGAAGGAGTGATGCAGATGACTTGTTTAGGACTGAGCTCTCAACAATAAATTATCCTCAGCACTTGGACCACATATGAGTCTCTGCTGCTCACAGCTAAAAGAAGCATCTCTGACCGAGGCTGAGTGGAGCACTGATCTATGGGTACAAACATGAATACTTAGAAGGCATTTTGACAGCATGTCCATGTAGTAAATAAGAGTAGTCGGTCCCTGTAGGCCTAGGACTCTGACATGCTGGGTCCATGAGAACAGAACTGCAGGGAAGTCCTGAGCCACACACAGGAAGTGGAAGAGCACTTGACCAGAGCTGGAGAAGAAATGACTGAATGGGCAGGAGGTCCTGTCCCAGAAGGGACAGCATTCTACTCAAAGGCACATCCAGGTGTGGCGGGTTCTTTAGCTCAGGAAGTAGCCAGGCTCAGCGCAGACTCGGGCTTATTCTGCCTGCTGAGAACAAGCCAGTGTGAAGTTTCTTCCCCGTGCCTTCACTCAGGGTCAGAACAAAGGCATATAGAAGATGATTCCAGGGACTTGTCAGCTGTCCACAGCTAGCCTGTGGTGGCCTGTATTGATTGCACAGTCCAGGACTCTGCTTCAAAACCAAGTCTTCCCCACTTGTCTTTGTGTGGGGTACATGTGCTCATGCGTGCGTGTGTTTACAGTCCAGAGCTTGAGGTCGGATGTCTTCCTCAGTTACTCTCCGCTGAGACAGGATCTCATTGAACTTGGAGCTCCCCCGTTCAGCCAGTTGTGTGGGCGCTAGGGACTGCACTCAGGTAACCGTGCTTGGGTGGAAATCACTTCACTGACTAAGCCCCTGCATCAGGCAGGGAATGTGTTCCTCTAGTGTTCCAGAGGAGAAACCTGAGGCATGGGGTGAGCTAAAGGTCTTGGGCCAGAGTAAGTGAGTTGGGGGCAGATTCAGAGCTCCTTGAATCTCCCCCACAGAGCCCTGACACAGCCTGTAGCATCTCGGGCGTCATCAGGAGCCGTGGGACTGTGTCTCTGCGTGTGCCCAGTGTCGTCTTCCTTGCTGAGGAAGAGGCAGGAGGGCTGGAGGAAACTGATGCCTTTCTCCGTTCTGGGTGCTGCAGGTGCCACTCCCGAGAGAGCCGGGGAGCCTCGGTGAGTCAAGAGATGTTTCCAGATGAGACCTGCAGTGTGAGGATGGGCGAAGACACTGAGTACTGCAGTGAGCCCAGCCTGCTCTCCACAGAGATGTAAGCCTGGGCCACCCTAAGTGTAGGAAAGGGTGGGGACTCGGGAGCAGTACTGACACCCCTCCTCTGGGCCAGACAATGGCGTATCAGTAACACCTGCCCAGGATTCCCTCTGCAGCTTGGGTTGCCTCACTACCGAACACTTCCAGGAAACCTTTAAATATCGATTCTTAAATGATGTGATCAATAATAGGTGCATTTCTTAGTGTGAGTCAGCATACATGTATGATGTTCAAATAAACTTGTTATGGAAGTTTTTAAGTCTGCCCTGAAGAGGCACAATCGGCGTGCCTAGGGATGCTAGTTCAGTTCCCTTAGGAGTATTTAGCTTCCATCTAGAGCCACTGGGCATCTGTAATGTCCAGCTGGTGAGAAGAACCAGTGTTCTTTTCTCCTTTCTTTCTTTCTTTTCTTTCTTTCTTTCTTTTTTTTTTTTGAGATAGGGTTTTTCTCTATGTAGCCCTGGCTGTCCTGGAACTTGCTTTGTAGACCAGACTGCTGGCCTCAAACTCACAGAGATCCACCTACCTCTGCCTCCCAAGTGCTAGGATTAAGGGCATACACCACCACTGCCCGGCTAAGACCAGTGCTTTTAAAAGTTGGGTCAACATATATTTTATGAATAACTAGAAAGAAGGACCTCAAAGGTGCCAAACACAAAGTAATGTAAAAAGATGGAGGCGTTCATTACATACTGTCCATACCTGTTGAACTATCACAGTGCACCTGATAAATACTGTGCTATTACATATCAGTCAGCAAACTTTACTGTTTAAGGAAGTGGACATTAACTACCCAGACTTAGTCACTACATGTTATCTACATATGCCAAATGGTCACACCATGCTTCATAAATATGCAGTTAAGTTAATAATAATTGAAAATAAATATTGTTTATGAAGTGTGTGCTTAAGTATGTGCCTCTCTAGGCTCCTGGTAAAACGTTTATGACTCCTGGAGACACCCTTCACTTCCCTGAAAGTGCTTTGGTATGCACCAGCTTCTCGGGCCCTTAAAGTTAACAAAGGCCCAGATGGAGAGATTCTTATTGAATACTTGCCTAACTCCGAAGAAGCCGGATTTGAATCCAGGAGATTTTACTAACTGGTTAGGAAGCTAAGAGATCACAGACCAGGAAGAAAATGTGGACCTTTCTAACCAGCTGCCCACAGAATGTACCAGTGCCAAGGGAACAGACATGCAGACTGAGTCCAGCAGCAGCATAGCTGCTGAACTGTGAGTTGTGTACCGGGCAGCAGAAGTCAGGTCTGCAGGAGTGGAGAGACCCGAGTAAAAGGAAAATGTCCTGGGGAGGGCTTAGCTAGTGGGGGATGGAAGCAGGATTGGCAGCATAAGAGTCTGAGAGTCTCATGTCCCAAACTCCCCTGCACGTACATACATTCCTGTTTGCAGGGGTGGAGTCAGAGGCAAGAGGCTGCACAGTCAGCCTTCCAGCATAGCTCAGTGGTAGGTTGCTTTCATGGCATGCGCATGGTCCTGTGTTCCATCCTCGGCGCTGCAAGAAAACAAAAAAGTAAACTTAATGAAAGGGTATTAGTGGTAGCAGTCCACGATCTGATCTACCTCACTGAGGGCTGGAATACAACTGTGCTTCAGTCTGAAGACTGATCAGTGGAGGGTCATGAAGTTACTTCAGTGGGTAATAGCCAGCAGTCATTGGAAAAAATAATCCTGACTAAGGCAGTATAGAAATAATGAGAGAATGGAGCATACAAAGAGTGGAGTGTCTCATATGGCTAGGTATGTCTATGATACTGGGGATATGTGTAAAAATTTTTCGTTGTGAGGCACCATCAAAAAGTCTGGAAGTCATCAACTAGAGGTCCTTAGGCAGTTGTTCTCAACCCGTGAGTCACAACCCCTTTGGGATTCACCTAAGACCATTGGAAGACACAGATATTTATATTAGGATTTGTAAAAGTAGCAAAATTACAGTTTTGAAATGGCAATGAAAATAATGTTATGGTTGGGGTCATCACAACCTGAGGAACTGTATTAAAGGGTCTCAGCAGTAGGAAGGTTGGGAACCACTGCCCTAATTGCTGCTACTGCCCTGCTGTCTGCCGACTGGATGATTACAGGATCACTACAGGCAGTGGCTGATGTGCTTTTGATAGTGAAGGATAGTCAGACAGGGAAGAATTAGAGGGGTAGAGGATCTTGGGGTAGCATTGAGAATGGCCCTAGTGAACAGCATAGACCTGCTGTGTAAGGACAGGCAGGCATCTAAGGTACTTCTAAGAAAATGTTATGGGCCTAGAATTCTTCTTCCAACTTTCTCTATACCCAAGAGAGCCTCCACTGGCTGAAATCAGAAATGCAAGGCTCAGGGATAGGACAGGAGCCCAGTGTTAGAGTACTTGGCTAACATGCACGAGGCCTTGAATTCCAATCCTCAGCCCAGCAGAAAAACAAACAAACAAACAAAAAAAAAATCAACTACAAGCCTCCTGCACTGGATTTGTATCAAGATCCAGGACCCCCACCAAGCAGGCCTATGAAACAACTATGATGCCCGAGAGCAGGCACAGGTTTCTTAGCACACCTTGCTACCTGCTCCCCACACCTATAGTACAGGCGCGCAGATGAGCATCACCTTCACTAAGGGTAGTGGAAACTGCTTTCTGAAGATAGCAGCTGTCCTGATGGGTGGCACCTAATGTGCCAAGGGTTCTCTGTTCCAGACTCTCCTACCAGGATGATGAAAACCGACAGTTGACATCTCCAGAGGAGAAGAGGGAGATCCAGCAGTCTCCAAAGAGGGGTTTCCTTCGCTCTGCCTCGCTAGGTAAACTCACACCTTGTTCTGCAGATATAGACGGTAATCACCTCTAAGATGGCAATGGTCAGACACCGAGCAACAACTGAGAAACTGTCTGGGCCTTGCTTAGGCGGCCTCTAGAGAGGGGCTGGTAGGCATGCAAAGTGACAATATGGCTCTCCAAAGACACAGTTTGTTGGGACGGGACTTAGACATTGGCTACTCAGATGCCTCGGAGATAAGCTGAGGCATAAAATGAGCTGGGGACCAAGTAGCACTGACCCTCGTACCTCACCCGAGAACAAGCCTCTTTCAGTCACTGTTCCATCGCTGTAATAAAACATGTGAGATGACCAGCTTCAAAACAAGAAAGGCGAATTTGAGCTCACAGCTTTGGACGCTCGGCCCATTACTTTGGGGCCTGTGGCTAGGTCATGGTGGAAATGGGCCCTTTGCCTACTGGCCAGGAATAGAAAGAAGGGAAGGAGCCCAGTTTCCCATGATCTCTTTCAAAGTCACATCACCAAAGGTGGAAAACTTCCCACAAGGCTCCACCTTTTAAACATTCAGCCAGCCTTTCGACTGTACCGAACTGGGGACTAAGCCTTTACTACATGGCCTTTGGTAGACGCTGTGGATCTCAGCTGTGGCAGAACTGTCACAGGCCGGTGCCATCACCTTGTACCCTTATTCTGGTTCTTCTGCTGCTTCCGCAGGTCGAAGGGCCTCCTTCCACCTGGAATGTCTGAAGAGACAGAAGGATCAAGGGGGAGACATCTCTCAGAAGACAGCCGTGCCCTGGCATCTGGTTCATCACCAGGTATTGACGCCTGTGGACAGGCCACAAGCCACACCTCCCGAGGATGGTGGCAGATCCCTTCTGTCTCCCCTTCTGAGACCTCTGTGCATCAGCCCCCCCCTGGGGAGTCCACTTCTCTGCAGACACCACAGTCTGTGGCACTGAAAGGCAGGTCCCTGTGACACCCTGGTGAGGATTCCTTTCCTGATTCTAACTAGAAGCCCTATTCAGGGCTCTCGAGCTTTCTCCTTACAGTGCCAGATATCCCTCCCCATGCAATGCTGTATGCTGCACGCTCTAAAGTAGATCCAGTCAGGCCTAGGGCTTGATGGGACCTGGGAGCTGAACTTCGCAGCGGTCTGTCTGTCCACTGCAGTGCAGATATGATGGCAGCACCTGCCAACAGCATGATGAAGAGCAGGGAATGCTGGGCATGGTGGCCATGATTTTAATCACAGTACTCGAGAGACTAAGGAAGAGGAAAAAAAACAAAAAAACAAAAGAGGGAATGTTCTCCAAGGAGAAAAGGCCTGGGAGAGTAATTAGATCAAATCTACCCTAGCATAGCGCAGCTGACAAAGTGAAAACACCAGCGGCGCACTCACTCTTGGTAACTTAGAACAAGTAGAAACTTCAGGCTACAGCCGATACATTACCTGCAGCAAATGGGGATCGAAACCTGAGCTCCCCAGGTTACCTTTGTAATTACTAACTCCCTTTGGGGCCTGTGCGCTCTGTGTGTGTGTGTGTGTGTGTGTGTGTGTGTGTGTGTGTGTGTGTGTGTGTGTGTGTCTGTGCTTGCATGTGTGTATACATGTATATCCGTGTGTTCATGTGTGTATATGTTTATGTATGTGGGCACATGCATACAAAATGCATTTTAAAAACTGATACAACTTCAGCTCAAAGGCCAAAGCACAGTCTAAATAGGGATTTTTGTCATGAACTTTCCAACATAATGAAATAGCTTCATGCTTCCCTTAGATTTCCAGGTACCCCATAGCCAGGGGGCTGCCATGAGCTGGGGAGAGGGACGAAAAGCAGGATGTAGGGACGCTGTGTGTTCTGTCTAAAAGGGTTTCTCCAAATGGTTTTGTCCATCTGTCCTCATGCCCAGAGGTGGGAAACGAGGTTTCTCTTTGTATCATTATGCCACCTCCAACCTGCTCTCTGTCACCCGGAGATGAACGCTCCCACTACAGCGTCAACAAACATGTCACATCTGGGCAGTGGACAATGCTGAGAGTCACAGCGACAGTGGGAACGCAGGCTCACCCTGAGCATTCTCTGGAGCATTTGGGGATAGAGAAAGCAGACCTGGAAATTGTTAATCATGATACAGAAGCCAAAACACTCTGCTTGAGATTGACAGGGCATTATCAATGGGTCTATTTCATTATAAAAGTTAAAATAGCCGGGCGGCGGTGGTGGTGCACGCCTTTAATCTCAGCATTTGGGAGGCAGAGCCAGGCGAATCTCTGTGAGTTCGAGGCCAGCCTGGTCTACAAAGCGAGTTCCAGGAAAGGCACCAAAACTACACAGAGAAACCCTGTCTCGGAAAACCAAAAAAAAAAAAAAAAAGTTAAAATAATGACTACTGATTTTGTCTAGGTCATTATGATAGACACTATACCTCAAAAGCCTTATTTTACTTAATGTCACACTGGCCTATAGGCCGGTGCAGAGAGAGGGCACTGGGGAATTCTGGCTCTGTGGAGGACACGTCATCATTGTCCTCTCTGATCTAGTGGAAAAGTCAGAGTGACTGTATCCAGATAATACAGATGGCAGAGCCAGTCCCAACCATGGATGAGCCAGAGTGTGCTCAATTGTAAGGTCCTGAAACTAGAAGGAAATGCTCATTAAAATATTTCTGGATATTATTGAATCTTACACCAGGTCTCAATGAGGTAGATAGGATTTGGGCTTTGAGAATTCTAGGCAGAACTCACTGGAAAATACTAGTTTCGAAGTTACTCAGAAGGCAGAGGGCTGACCCCTCCTGGTAACTCCTTTTCTTATGTCCGCAGGCCTTGGCAGTGGCAGGTTTGAGCCCCCTCCTGCAGAGAAGCCATTCTCCTACCACGTTCCCCAAGCCATGCCCCACACCCCCTGTCACCCCAGGCAGCCGGGGCAGGCCCCCACAGCCCATCCCCACCCTACGGCTGGAGGGGGCTGAGTCCAGCGAGAAGCTCAACAGCAGCTTCCCGTCCATCCACTGCAGCTCCTGGTCTGAGGAGACCACTGCCTGTGGTGGCGGCGGCGGCAGCATGGCCCGGAGAGCCCGGCCTGTCTCCCTCACGGTGCCCAGCCAGGCTGGAGCTCCAGGGAGACAGTTCCATGGCAGCGCCAGCAGCCTGGTGGAAGCGGTATGTGAATTCAAACTCCTGGGGAGGGAGAGGCCCCAGAAAACAGGAGACTTTTGTACAGAGAAGGAAGCCTGGCTTCTTCCCAAGGAGACTGGGTGTCCAAGGGTTTAAAGTAGAGAAATGCTGAAGGAAGGCCTGGCCTGCAGAAAATTACAGCTATGACTAGCCAAGATGATAGCCACTGGCCATGATGAACCGGGAGAAAGCCGTTAGTAAAGTGTGGGCCAGTGAACCCCAAGAAAAGTTCTGCTGCATCCCAGAGTTCACACGCGTGCTGGGGCTTGTTCCTACAAAGAGGGCCAGGGTTCACTGTGCTTAATTCTGACTGCTCAGGAGAACAACTCCCCAGAGCTTTGGGAGCTTGCCAAGGGAAACCGGCATTTCCAATCTTTCAGTGATTCTAACACACGAGTGTCCAAGTTTAAGAGGGCATCTTTTCTCCTTGGCTTCTGTTCCTCCTTTAGAGAGATTTTAGAGTCACTAGTCCTCTGCCCCTGCGGAGCGTCTATTCCAATCCTAGCACCACATTTTAGGGGCCTTTGGCAAACTGAAGCAAACCCCAAAGACTGTGGCAAGGTCCTTAAAAACTGTTAGAGTTTCTAGACTATTGGCAAGGTCCTAGGAGAACTGGTAGAGGGAAGACCTTGCCCACACAGCTCTCCCCAATAAGAGGACGATGGTAAAGGAGTCAGCCTCCATCACTGGACATGCCAAGCAGAGGCTGCGTCTGTCCTGTGGTCAGACGACCTGAGAATAGAGTTCAGTTAAGTAACTGGTCCTTTCCAGCTCTGAAACCCTAATTCTTCACTCGAGCCTGTTTGTCCTTTACTCATCTCAAAAATCTCTGAGAATCTTACTAGGTGCGGAGACTATAGGCACAGTGAGACATCTGGGGAAATGGATTTCAGCTCTCATGAGCTCCCACTGTGGTGGCGAGGACAAACAGATTAAAAAGTAAGCATTATGTGGCCAGAACAGGCAAGGCATCCGTCGAAAAGTCAGGCAAGGTAAGGAGAGAGTGATTCTCAGGCAGAAGAGGAGGAACGGATGCGTAGGAGAAAAAGAGCCCCCGCCCTGACTCTGCCATATTCTTCTTCCCCTTGGCTCAGAGACTTAGTAAACTTCCTTCTCACTAGTCACTAAAGCAGCTAGGAGGAAGGGTGGACCCGTGATGGTCACCTGCTGCTCTCCCAAACAAAAGCAGAGCACGCATCCTGTACAAGGAGCCCCGGAGCTGCAAACAGCTGGCCAGGGGTTGGGGGACAGTGCTTAAACACCAAATGAAAGCTAAGGCTTCTTGGAAAGAGCAACATAAAAGATGTCTTGGGGGCCAGAGAAGAGAAATGAAAAGATCTGCCCGTGAAAAGGCAGAGCAGAGTCCACAGCCGCTCTGCAAGTTTCTCCTCATTTGGTGATATGATGGTGTTTGAATCCTCCAACCTAAAGCGCTCGCCTCTGATCTGCGCATGCCCACTTCCTTTGGTCCATACTTCATCTCTGCTTTCCTGTGAGTGTCCCTGGTAGCACACAAATAGAGACACACGAACATGCCTACACACTCCCCACACACACACGCACACTTATGTACACATTCACACATGCATACACACACACATCCTAACACACATACCCACATGCACATGTTATGTACACACAAATGCTCTGCTTCGCAGCAGCCTGCGACTTCATCCTTGGGGAGCTTGGAACTCCGGTGACCACGCCCCTCTTCTGTCTTCTTTTTGCCCCTCCTTTTCAGGTCTTAATTTCAGAAGGACTGGGACAGTTTGCTCAAGATCCCAAGTTCATCGAGGTCACCACCCAGGAGCTGGCTGACGCCTGTGACATGACAATAGAGGAGATGGAGAATGCCGCAGACAACATCCTCAGTGGGGGCGCCCAGCAGAGCCCCAACGGCACCCTCTTACCTTTTGTGAACTGCAGGGACCCGGGGCCGGACAGGGCTGTGGTCCCAGAGGACGAGAGCTGCGCATATGCCCTGGGGCGAGGCCGGAGCGAGGAGGCGCTCCCGGACAGCAGGGCCTACGTCAGCAACCTGTAGTCCACAGGGCTGGCGAGACGCGGGTGTTTTTTATTCGTTTCAATGTTCCTAATGGGTTCGTTTCAGAAGTGCCTCACTGTTCTCGTGACCTGGAGGTAACCGGAACAGCGTCTTCATTCACTGCTGTCGGGACAAGCCTCAGAGCTGGGCGGTCTGCGGAGTCGGCTTTTCAGGGGAGAAGGCCAAGGCCGTGGTGCAGGGCTCCAGCGCCTTCCCGGGGCAGCACCGCCCAAAGGACCCCACCCCACCCCTAAGCAAAAGGGTGTTTTCCCCTTGCTTGTATAAACAGTCATTTGCACATGTTCTGTCTGAACCTGGCCGTCTCTATGGAGTAGGGACCCAGGGATCTATTGCAGGAGTAGGCCAGCGCCCCGGGTAGGGGCCCGGGAAAGGGCTGCAAGGTTCCCAGCAGTTTGGGCCGGGTCCCTTCTGGGACTCTTCCTCTGCAGGAGCCGAGGTGCAGGTGGAGGGAGCCAGTGCAGACCACACCACCTGCCCTCAGCTAGCCAGGCCAGGGGGCGCAGGCTGCTGCCTAGTAATCTTGGTTTCATGGTTTGATGGTTCTTGTTAGCATGTTTCGGTTTTCTGGGTTTTAGTTTCTTTATTATTTTTTATTTGTTGTGCTTTCCCACAGGGAAGGGAGGAAGAAGAGCATCTACAGTTGCGCAGCCTCAGTCACTGTTTCCACATTTGGGTTATTTAAGTCAGATTTGGTTTTATTATATTCTTTAAATGGTGCGGTTTTCTCCCCCACCCCTCTTTTTCCACCCATGAAGCGAGGGCTCAATATCACCACAGGACGGTTTACCTGCTCTGTGTATGCCCAGTAACTTGTTACAATTTCCTTAAGTAACACCACCTTTTTCCCCCTTTCTTTCTGGTTCGGTTGAGCGTCACAATCTGCAGGTAACGGGCTGTTAGATAAGGTGTTGCGCGCCTGGGCGGTTGAGCTGGGCTCCTTTCTTAGCTGGGCATATGGATAGGTTCAAGAGAGAGGATGTATGAGCATTTGTGTGTCACACGTGTGTCCATAGTGGGTCGTCTGTGCGTGTGTGCACCCACATGGTGCGTGCGCACCTCCTCCACCCCACCCCCACCCCCGCACAAAAGTCCGTAGATCCCGGTTCCGGTTTGACTGCAGGGAGTTCTGAATCTGGGGCGATTCGAAAGCAAAAACAAATCACTGTCTCCGCTTCTGCTTCTGAAACGAGAATCGGTAACGGCATTTCCTGTCCCACGAGATATGCAAAAGCAATGCAATAATATCCATTTTAAAATACGATTGTGAGTTGTGTCAGCATTAAAATTCTATTTTAAAAAAACACAAAATTTAAGGGAAAAAACTCAAGAAGACATTTTGCTTCGATATATTCTGTGTAACGTTTTATTGCATTGATAATGTTTCTGTTGAAGAAACTGTTATACTTGAATTCAGGTCAGTTTCAGTATTTTTCAAATATTTTTTTAAAACTGAATTGCAATTGTGCCAAGCAAATATAATGACTTAAGTTTGTTTTAAAATTCACTTCTTGTATATTTTGCTGCATGTAAAGTAAATCATTTTGTATTTGGAGTGTGACAAGCTTTACCTTTGAACTCTTAAGTGCTTTTTCTACATGTGGTTGGGGAGGAGATGGTTTTTTTTTCATTTGCAAAGTCAACAAAGGTATCCCCGGTGTCAGTCCTCTGCTCTCTGCGGGCAGGTCTGGGAGGTACCATTTTGCATATCTTGTATTTTGTTTCCATTTCCCTTGATCTTTCCAAAACCGGGTGGTAAGACAGTCCATGCCACATCTTGCTTTGCAAGATCAGGACATGTTTCATCCAGGTCTTCACTTGCTGCCTTCTGCCATTCTCTGTGGATACTTACTTGTCCAAGATGCTCCCGTGGAGAGGTGGCTGGCTTTCCCAAGCACTCGGACTGAAAGGATGGGGTGACAGTCAGCCTGGGGCGGTGGTAGGCCAGATTCATCTTTGACACATGACTTACCCAAACGCAGATTGCCGTAGCCGTGGCTAGAGAAAGGTAATGGGATGGAACTGTGGCCCTTCTAGAAACCACTCATCCTCTCCTTCCAAAGCAGGAAGGCAGAGAAGCAGGGGATCTTGACGAGGGCGGGCATCAGGATTCAACAGGGATGAAAGGAACAGATTGTGTGGGCCTTCCATTTCGGCTCGTCTGTGTCTGCCTTCAGCAACTCTTACAGTTAGTACCAGGTCTTTCGATTGTATTGTAACAAGAATGGTTGGAAAAGAAGGGCTCTGGGGAAAATAAGGCTCAACCATTCACCCAGAACTTACCTATGGACAGAATATCTTCTGGTCCCAGTGTCCTTCCAGCCTATTTTGGAGATTATGTGAGAATCTGCTAGAAATTCCAGCAAGGATCTTTCGTGAAAAGGCAGAGAGAGGTGCCCAGTGTCCACAGATTAACCAGAGTCTAAAAACAGCGCTCCTCCTTGGACTTCCATGTGCCGATAACCCAGCATCCTTTGCAGTACCCATAAGGGCTTCTAGATGTGAGGATTGGGTGGCATCCTTTGTCTTGTTTCTGCAAAGTTCTGCAACTGTGTTGATGTGACTACGGTGACTACAGAGAGGGAGCCCTTCTGACTGGCTGTCTGGTTCTCACATACATCTGACCCCTAGGGAAATGTGGTGTTTTCATTGATCCTACACACAGACATGCATACTCAGTGTCCCTGCGCTGCCTTGTTTTCCTTTGGAAGCTTTGATCTACATTGCCAGATTCTACTGACCAATGACATAAGCTACAGGCCAAGCTCCTGCAGCTCCTGCCAGCACTCTGCCCAGTGTGGTTCCCCAAACCCCCCTTCACCAGTCATACCCACAGACTGCCTTCTCCCTTATGGCCAAGAAGACCAGAACAGCCTTTCACTCATACGCTGCACCCTGCAAGAATAGCATCATCAGGGACAATGGGCCCCTTGCCCTTTGTTGCTAAGAGGAACAGAGGTTCAGTGGCCAATGGGGTTTTCATGCTTGGCTTCATGACCACCTGAGTAAGATTGACACACGCTACCTGTCTCCAGGACAGAGGGGATCAGTGAGTAGGAAAGCCAGTGAACATCTACACCAGACTGTCTACTCTCCACCCAACATGGAATTTTCCCAAGGACTGTTTTGAACATAACTACCAGACCTTCTGCAATCCTGACAGTCCCTGAATGGCAGGGAAATTAGCCCGCAGCTGGGGGCCAAAGGGCCATGAAGGAGTGTAGGCCATGTGTTTTCATCTGTCCTATGACTAGCTCTGTCTCTTTTATTTCTGATCTTTTCATGTGTGAGACCATATTATACAGACAAAGTCCAGTTAGTTCCTTTCTGCCTGGTCCTAGAAGACTCTTCATATCTTCAGGTTAAAAGAGAGAGACTTTCCTAGACCTTGTTTGATTTGTAAATGTCTTCCCTGTTAGTTGTGGTTCCTATCTTTCTTAACCTGACTAGGAATCCAAGGCCCAACTCTGTCATTTACCTTCCTCTGGTACCCTGGTTCCAAATTCTGGGTACTATGAAAAGAAGGTCTGTGTTCCTTTCTCATAGCTCTCAACCATCTGGAGCTCCAGACACCCTAACTGAACACAGTAGGCCGCCCTTCCTTTGCCAAAACCAGCACATTTCTGCAAACAATCTGGAAGTCAGTAGAAGCAAAGTGGCTGTTGTACTGAGGCCAGGAGAACACTCCACTGCTCCTAAGGGCAGGCCAAGAGAGCAAGGATCCAGACCAAGCATGGAGTCAAATCTGGTACTCAGGGTTTTTAGCCTTCTCGTAGCACATTTCAAATGTCGCCAAGGGGATGGATGGCCCCTCCATCCTGGGATTTTGAGTAACTGAAATGTCCTCATTCAGGAGCTAGAAACAATTGAACAAGGACCTGAGGAAGGATTGTCTGGCTTTCAGAAGAGCTACTCAAAGCCCAGGAAAGCCAAACATGCTGTAAGTGTCCTGGCTGATTCTGTTCCTCAACAAAGCCTTGGCTCTAAATCAAGAGTCAACACAGAGAGAACTAGAGGGATGTGGAGGTGAGGAAAGGGCACATCCTGACCCCATCTCATCGTGTGGAAAGCAGCTTCTGTCTTGTCCAGCCTTGGTAAAGGCTGGTGGCTCCGTAATCTGCTTTGGAAGTTGTGAAACATACCTACCCTGGGTGTTTTTCCAGCTAAATCAACCTAGCTAGAGCGATATGGTTCTTACCTGACCCTGTGAGGTCCCTTCACTGCATCTGGCCAAAGAATTTGCCAATGGGAAAGTTGTTGGGGGAGGTTGGGTCTCACTCACCAAAGTCCATGTTCTAGAGCAGCTGCTGTGGGGAGAGGCATCCTGGGAGGATGTGAGGGGGAAAAGCACCTACCTACAATGTCAGTAACAGGGACCTTCCCCTCCTGTAGCATTTCACTCCTCCTCCTCTTCCTCCTCCTCCCCTCCTTCTCCTCTGCAAGCCCAGTGAAGGGAATAGAGAGGTGAAAGGAACCATTTGCAGATTCTTACAGTGTCTTCACCTTGCAGGGAAGCAGTTGAATACCACACACACACATACACACACACACACACACACACACACACACACACACACATACACACACACACACCCTAAGGCACAAGTGCTGAGGTGATGGCTACTTTGTGATTTTTTTTTCCACAGAAAAGGAGGACTGTGGTAGGCATGTTCAACCTGTTCAATCTGTGGCTATGTGTCGCAGAACAGCTATGACCGTGGCCCAGTACATTTCTAGATGATGTCCTATTATAAGGGAAAAACACTGGACATCTTAAAGAGGAATACATGGAAGAAACTAGAACAATTTCCAACGGTGAAAATGGTGACACTTCTATTCATCTACAGTGAGGAACTGCTACCATTCTTAAACTTGCCCTTTTCCTCCAACCATCTTAAGAGGTTTGATCCATATAGTATATGATAAAGACCTGGCCCTTCCTGGTATGTGAGGAAGACTTGCTAACCTATCTCTGAAAGGGAGTTGAAGAATGTAGCTAGATATATCAAGCATTGCAAATCAATTCAGTACTGAGAGTAAAGTCTGAATTAAGATTTTTCTGTTACATTTCTCTTAGGTCTCTGCTAACAATAAGGAAGGCAAGGCCAGGAAAATGCAATGAAAATGTGAAATGTCACATCACGAGAGCCGAACTATCTCAGATGTTCATTGCTTTAGAGTTGTAGCCCTTCATCCCCATGGGGAATTCTGTGAACCCCAGTTTCCCAGAATCTAAGTGATTTGATGTATAAAAGTTACAGAACGGGTGACATGCCACTTACTCCAGCATGAATGAGTCAATTAATGCAAATTTGCCACCTAAAACTTCGCTCATGGACCACTCAGCAGGGTCATTACAGAGACAATTTGGGGAGGCAGAGGATATAGGAAATCAGAGGGTTATTTCTTTTTTCTTTTCCTTTTTTGGGGGAGCAATATGAAGGCACTGGGGATTGAGCCAAGGGCCTTCCTTGTACATGCTGGGCAAACACTTCAGCTTTTATTTTGAGACAGTCTCTGCCTCCTAAGACTTCCCAGCGTGGAGAACTACACCAAAGTTAAAAGCAGGGAAGAACCTTTGGGAATTGAGGACAGGTGATGTGTAAGCAAGCAATCCCTGCAGAGGGCCCCTTAGAAGGCATCACAGTGACCCATAAGCTATGGGCACCTTTCTGTTCGCCACACAACATACATCCACATCTGCATCCCATCCCCCAGACTTGAAATGCACCTCCCAGCCTTCCTACCTGACCATGCACCCATCTGTCTGCCCTGCTCGGACATGTGCTATTTGCTCACTGCCCTGAGCAAAGCCTGGATGGCAGGGAAACAGCTGGGTTTACACACATCTGTGATGAGAGCAGTTAAGAACAACCTGTGGGAATAGAAGTCATTGAGAAATAGGGTGGCAGATCCCCAGGAGTGAATGCTGCAATGTCTGCCTCTCTCATAATACTGCAAATCTACTTTAATCTGCCAGTGTTGCTAAGGAAAACTTCCCTCCATGTAAAGGGTCCACATAAAGCCGCTCCTACTCCCAACTCTCCATGTGTCTACTCAGTCCACTTTTATGTCCACGAGAAAGCCTGTGTCATGTGCCATGCCTGTTCCCAGAGAGGCATGGAAAGATGAACAGGCTCCTGTGTCACTCATATACACCTGCATATCCGACACCTGCCCCTCCAGGCTCCACGACACCACAGTCTGACTGTTGTAAATATTGTTGTACAGTTTGTAATCATCAAATAATACTGCTGTCAATGGCCCTGCCTGCTGCGCCTTCTCCCCCTTGAGTAAGGCCAGGGAATCTAGAAGGGAAAACCTTCAAGGAGAGCTTCAGGGTCCATCTCTGTGTGAGACGCTACTGTATATTCCTGTAAGATTGCATTTTTATCTAAGGAATGATGTTATTTAAAAAACAAACAAAAACGCAAAAAAGAATTGCAAATAAATTTCTTAACAATGTCGATCTTGGTTTAATCAGTATCTCCCCTGTTCCATACCTCTCCTTTTCCCCTGTTCCTACAGTTCACAGAAATAGATTTAACCTCCACTTGCATTGGATCCTTCAAATTGGGGGAGCAGAGAGGGTGTGACTCCAGCATATCCCTAACTTTGTGACCACAGCGGATCTCACATAGATGTTCTTCCATCTATGACAGGGTCAACAAAAATGGTCAAAGGTGAATAAGGAGGCAGAAGAGAAATGAATGGTTAGCTCAGAAAATCGAAGTACTGTCCCCTAAATAATTGAGTTCAGATAAAGTGTGGGGGGGATATACTAGGGGAGAGGAGAGAAAACACCATCAAATGCAAGGTTCTGTGGTTACCATGATGATGTAAACTGGCTCACACAAAGCTTCCAGAATAATCCCCAGGAAAAACAGAATTGTTGCAGGGATTCCAGGAGGCAGGGGAAGCAGCTCGAGAACCTGTCTGCTGCCTAGAGAAAGACTGCTCTGCTGGACTCTGGCTTCTTGTAACTCTGCTGGAGCTTGGAGTCTGTTGATACCTTGGAATCCGGAAGAGGAATGCCTGAACAGCCAACTTAACTTTGGCAAGTTCAGTTTTTAGCCCAGCAGCAGCCACATGCCCTACCTAGCCTGGCGCAGCATCTGAACCTTCATCCAGAGCAGCTGGCAGCGTATGGGGACCACAGCAGATGGAAAAGCAAATCGTCCTGAACATCAAAGATCTGTACTCAGCGGAGATTGCTGCTTCTAATCACAGAAGTGCAAACACAGAAGCAGGAAGTCATTATTGTACCCCCATCACTGAAAGCTGTTTCCCCATCCATCTGAAGTGACTTCCTAGATTTAAAGGGCCAGTACCCTCTTCCATCCCTCTTCCCCCCTTTTCTCCTTCCAGAAACTAGACATTAAAGCTAATACATCCAAAAGCAAATATTTAGATGAAGAACATTAGAAAGTGATTGAGCATATCCAGGGAAAGCTTGGCTCAGAAAATATGCAAGAAAGCCTAAGCTCATACGTTATACTTATCAAAACTGATCCTGGATATGGAGTTTACCCTTCTTCCTTATAGGCTCATAATCTCAGCACTCAGGGAGACTAAAGCAGTAGGGTAACTATGAGTTTGAGGCTAGCCTGGCCTACATCATGAGTTCCAGCCCAGCCTGTGCTACAGAGAGACCTTGCCTAAAAACAAAAACAAAAGCAAACCACAGGAGGAAAGAAAGCCACCAAGCAAACCCGGCCCCACAAAGAAAGAGCAACCATAAGAAATGTGGAGGAGGGGACATCTGATTTCCAGAGTTACCACATTTTTAGATTCAACTGTTCATTGAAAAATGTAGAGGAAGTCAAGGAAATGGTATATAAATAGGAAGGCAAGTTTGTAATCCTAGTGTGGGAACTGGGAGAGACAAGAGGGCTCCAGGAGCTTGCTGCTCAGCTAGCCTAACTCAGCTCCAGGGTCAGTGAGACACATACACACAGAGGGTGCTATATGACATAGCAAATGAACAGCAGATTAACAGTAGTCTGTCCTAAAGAATAATTATTTTTAAATTAAATGAATTAAAATTAACAATTCAAAGACAGGGATTGGCAGAACAGTTTGGGTTTTTGCTTTGTTTCAGAAACAAGCCAACTGTATACAGTCTCACTGAAGTATCTTCAAAAGCTTAGTTTAAGGTTACAGTCCTTAGATAAATCACATGATTCTCTCAATAGATACAGAGTAAGCTTTTGACAAAGCTTATCATGCAGATGTGATAAAGGGCTTGGAGAAATTAAGAATAGGTAGAACATACCATAGTTCAAGAAGTGTTAAGTCAATCAAGTAGGGGAAAGATATAAAAGGGATAAAATTGGGAAAGGAAGGAGTTGAATTATCCTTATTCACAAATGACATGATTCTGTACTTAAAAGACCCTATAAGCTTCACCAGAAATCCTTTATATTTAATAAATAGTTTAAGGAAATTTGCAGAATACAAAACTCAGTAGCATTCACATATGCTAAAAGGAATTGAAAAACATTCCAGCTGGGCGGTGGTGGCTCACTCCTTTAATCCCTGCACTCGGGAGGCAGAGGCAGGTAGATCTCTGTTAGTTCAAGGCCAGTCTGAGCTACAGAGTGAGATCCAGGAAAGGCGCAAAGCTACACAGAGAAACTCTGTCTTGAAAAAAACAAAAAAAAAAAGAAAGAAAGAAAGAAAGAAAAAGAAAAAAACATTCCAACCACCAGGCCTGGTGGTGCACACCTTTGATCCCATCACTCAAGGCAGAGGCCAGCAAGATCTACAAAGTGAGTCCCAGGACAGCCAGGGCTACTCAGAGACCCCCCAAACACTCACACACACACACACACACACACACACACACACACACACACACACACACACACACACACACACACACCATTCCATTCACAATAGCCCCCTGCAAAATAAAGTACCAAGTAGTAATCCTTGTGGCTGACAGGTAAATCCATTTAAAATGAAAACCTGAAGACACTAAAAAGAGAAACTGAAGAAGATACCACATATTGAAAAGAAACCGCATGTGCTCCCCAATTGGCAGACTTTATACCGTAAAAATGGCTATATTACCAAAAGCAATCTGTAGATTCAGTGAAGTTGCCATCAAAACCACAATGATGTTCTTCATAGAACTTGGAAAAAGAATCCAAAATTTCATATGAAAACACAAAATACCACAAATAGTCAAAGCAATCCTTAGAAGAAAGAGCACAATTGGGTGTGGTGGTGGTGGTGGTGGTGGTGGTGGTGGTGGTGGTGGTGGTGGTGGCGGCGGCGGCGGCGGCAGCAGCGGCGGGGGCGGCGGCGGCGGGGGGGGCGGCGGCGGCGGCGGCGGCGGCGGCGGCGGCAGCAGCGGCCGCCGGCGCATGCCTTTACTCCCAGCACTCAAGAGGCAGAGGCAGGCAGATCTCTGTGAGTTTGAGGCCAGCCTGGTCTACAGAGTGAGATCCAGGACAGCCAGGACTCCATAGAGAGACTCTGTCTCATAAATTAATAAATAATAAATAAATAAATAAATAAATAAATAGATAGATAGATAGATAGATAAATAAATAAATAAATAAATAAATAAATAAATAAATAAATAAATAAATAATAAATAAATAAATAAGCCGTTCAAGAAATGGTGCTGCAAAACTGGTATCCATTTGCGGAAAAATGAAGTTGGATCCCTTCACAAAAATAATTTAAAATCTGAAACTGCTAAAGGAAAACAGGTAATACACTCCAAAAATAGATACAAGCAGGAACTTTCTGAACAAGACTCTGCATAGGAAACAGCACCAAGAACTGACCATTGGAATCACATGAAGTAAAAAGTTTCTATATAGCAAAGGAAACTATTAGCAGACTGAATAGAGAGTCCATGGAGTGAGAGAAAATCCTTTTCAGACAGAGGGTTAATATTTAGAATATACAAAGAATTTCAAAAATACACACACACACCCCCCAGAAAACACCAAAGCTGCTGATCAATAAATATACTAGTGAAATGAACAGACCGTTCTCTAATGCAGAAACACAAATGGCAAATAAGATGTTGCTTGGAAAAAAAAAGATTTTGGCTGGTGTTTTATTTTGTTCTCGTTTATTTGGTTGTGAGACCAGATCTATATAGCCCTGGCTGGCATGGAACTTACAACAATCAGTCTGCCTCTGCCTCTTGTACCAACTACTGGGAGTAAAGGTGTAAATCACCACACCTACTGCAGATAGTATTTTTATGTGCATTGGTGTTATGCCCTGGGTATTGGGTCCCCTAGAACTGCAGTTACAGACAGTTGAGAGCTGCCATGTGGGTGCTGGGAACTGAACCCGGGTCCTCTGGAAGAACAGTCAGTTCTGTTAACCACTGAGCCATCACTCCAGCTCCACAGATAGATATTTTTAAAGTGTACAACATCCTTAGCCATCCAGGAAATGCAAATTAAACTATTGTGGAATTCCATCCCCATCCCCAACTAGAGAAAAAAAATGCTGATTTGGAGGTAGGGAAAGATGACCACTTAATCTCTGCTGGTGGGAGTGTAAACCAATACAGTCACTATGGAGGTGTGGTTCTCCTTCTTCCTCGGGATTATTGGCCACTGGTCCAGGAGGGTGGAGGAAGCTAAAGTGGGGAATAGGGTTTGGATCGCTGTGGATATGACTGAGATAGCCCTCCAGGCGAAAATTTAGTGAGACAACTCAACTTCATTCCCGAGTTTAGGAAGTATATAGAATTGGGAAGCCTGGGGACAAACCCTAATTTGCATTAAGTGGCATGCTCCTATCATATAGCTTCTATCATTAGTGGAAGCATGGCCCTATCAAAATGGCTAGAACATTAACTTAATTATCATGTGGGCATCAGGGAAAAAGTGTGTGCAGGGAACTATGTCAGGAGTCATCCTTGAGATAAGTCAGACATCCCGGCCTAGAGATATCCTCCAAATAAGGGCAGTTAGAGAGCAGGAAGCCTTGCTGGGGAGGGAATCAGTCCTTCATGTTACCAAGCTTGGAGAGAGCTACCAGGCCACAGACTGCAACATCTGACCAACAAGGCCTCCCAACATGGAAGTTTCTCAAAAAATTAAAAACAGACTTCCATCTGATCCAGCTGTATCACTCCTGGACATATACTGAAATGAGTCTGTCCTACTATACAGATACTTGCACATTCCTGTTTATTGTTACACTATTCACAATAAAAGAGGAAATGAAATCAGCCTAAATGCCCATCTACAGATGAGTAGATAATGAAAATGTGCTACACATACACACAATGGAATTTTATTCAACTGTAAAAAAAATAAAATTATAGAAATTTCAATGAAGTGGATGGATCTGGAAAGTCTTTTTTTTTCAATTTTCTTTATTAAGAAATTTTCTACTCACTCCACATACCACCCACAGATCCACCCTCCTCCCTCCTCCCACCCCCCAGCCCTCTCTTCCAAGCCACCCGGCATCTCCACATCCC